GAACAAAGAATTCAAACTATTGTGAAAATAATTTAAGAAATTAAAGGACTAAGAAATAAATTAATGAAGGCAATTCACGTTTCAAAAGAATATTCCAACAAGGAGATAGAGTTTCAAAAAAAATAACAAAGTAGAAAATTTAAAAATCATAAGTTTTATTAACTCAACTAAAATTCCAAATGGGAAGTATGGCCAATAAACTATGTCAGGAAGAATATTAAGTCTTGAAGACAAGGTAGATGAAGTAGAATTTTCATATAGTACTAAAAAGGAGAGACTTTTAAAACAATACACAATCATTCTAGGATAACTTTAAAAGACCAATTGAAGACTAAGGAATTGAAGGAAGGAGTGTCTATAAGGACTAATGAAATAGAAAACTTATGGTGAACTTAAACCAGAAAAATTTCCTTAATTGTGAGAACAAGTTGGACATCCAGGCACAGAAAACATTTAGAAGACCTGACAGACATGGCCAAAAAAGAACTTCTCAACATCATATTTGGGTTAAAATGACAAAATTCAGAGCAAAGAACGATTTTTACAAATTCAATAGAGAAGCACCAAGTTATTGATAAATGTTAATGTAGCTGGATAACTCTAAATGCCAGCAGAACATGCAATAATATACTTTAAGCACTGAAAGAAAAACACTGTAGTGGCACCTCCTCCTCCACAAATGCATCTTAATTAAGCTTCTCCAGAGACCCTAACCACAATTTTTCTTTTTAACAAAATATCAGCAAGGATCTCTGCAATAGGGCTCAACTATACTTACATGCTCTATTTCCTACTGCTCAGCTCTGTCATACAAAAACTAAATTTAACCACAAACCTCATGGATGTACTCTGCTTTTGTGGTATAATCTGCAAAATCCCAAACTGTTCTAATGTTTTTTGTGGTATAATCTGCAAAATCCCAAACTGTTCTAAATGGACAATAGGTACCTTCTGAGAACTCAAAGAAAAAATTACTTTTAGTACACCTCCAACCACCTCTGCCTACCACTGGGTATAAAGTTCAAAGAATGTCTAGACTTGGCATTAAGAGGGAGAATTTGTTTTAGGTGAAACCCTCTGCTGGATAGGCTGCAGACAATAAACCTGCTTATGCCAAAAAATAAATAAATCAATAAATAAAAATAAAAAATACTATAAATCAAATGGACCTTATAGGCACCTATAGAATATTTCATCCCAAAACAGCTAAATTAAATTTCTTCTTAGCTTCCCAGGGAACTTTCTCCAAAACAGACCCTCTTTTAGGACATAAAGCAACTCTTAGCAAATACAAAAAAAAAATGAATATCATTCCTTGTATCTTATTGATCTTAATGGAATGAAATTAGAAATCAACACAAAAACAAACCCTATGGAAACTATATAAATGCATAGAGATTGAACAATACACAAAGAGGTGGTTCTTTGAAAAGATAAACAAGGTTGATAAACCCTTATCCAAACTAACTAAAATAAAGAGAGAATACCCAAATAAACAAAATTAGAGATGAACAAGGAGAAATCACCATGGACATAAGAGAAATCCAGAGGATCATTAGGGTCCACAGGGTCTATTTTAAAAACTTATACTACAAACCTAGAAGAAATGGGTAAATTTCTAGACACATACAACCTGCCAAAATTAAATCAAAAGGACACAGAAAATCTAAACAGATCAATAATTAGCAATGACATTGAAGCAATAATGCCTTCCATTAATAAATAAACAAATATATAATAATAAATATAATAAATGAAAATTAATAAATAATAAATAATAAAGCCTTCCAAAAAAAGAGAAGTCTAGGACCAGAGGGATTCTCAGCTGAATTCTACAGACCTTTAAAAAAGAACTAATGCCAAAGTTTCTCAAATTACTCCATGAAAAGAAGGGGATGGAACACTTCCAAATTCATTCTATGAAGCCAGTATTACTCTCACCCAGACCAAATAAGGATATATCAATAAAATAAAACTACAGACTAATGTCCCTGTTGAACTTAGATGAAAAAAATTCTTAATAAAATATAGCAAATCATATCCAATACCATATTCAGAGATTGCACATTTTGACCAAGATGATTTCTTCCAGGGTTGAAGGATGGTTTAATCTACACAAATCAATACATGTAATTTACCACATAAATAGAATTAAGGGTTAAAAATCACATAGGCATCTCAATAGATGCAAAGAAAGCCTTTGATAAAATTCTAGCACCTGTTCATGATAAAATCACCAAGGAAGGTAGGGTTAGAAGAAATTCTATCCAGAGCAATTAGGCAAGAGAAAGAAATAAAAGAGATAAAAATTGGAAAGGAAGGAGTCAAATTATCACTGTTTGCAGATGATATGATCCTATAATTAGAAGATCCAAAATACTCCAATAGAAGACTGCTCAAGATAATAAACAAATTCAGAAAGGAATCAAGTTTACAAAATTATCTACAAAAATCAACAGCTTTCCTATATACCAATAATGAATCTGCTGAGAAAGAAATCAGGACTATAATCACATTAACAGAGGCCTAAAAAAATTACCCAGTAACATCTAACCAAGGAGGTGAAAGACCTCTATAATGAAAACTATAGAACATTGGAGAAAAATTGAACAAGACCTCAGAAGATGGAAATACTTCCTATGTTCATGGATAGGCAGAATTAATATTTTAAAATGGTCACATTACCAAAAAACTATAGATAGATTTAATGCAACCAATACTAATAACATTTTTCACAGCACTAGAAAAAAGCAGTCCTAAAATTTATTTGGAAGAATGAAAGACTCAGAATAGTCAAAGCAATTCTAAGTTAAAAAACAATGCTGGAGGCATCACAATACCTGGCTTCACTACAGAGTGATAGTAACAAAAACTGCATGGTACCTGCATAAAACAGATAAAACAGACCAATGGTACAGAATAAAAGACACACAGATACTGTCCTTGACAAAGGTGCCAAAATAATACATTGGAGGAAAGATAGGCTTTCAAACAAATGGTGCTGGGAGAATGGCTTATCTAAATGTAGAAGAATGAGATTAGATCCTTATCTCTTACCCTGCACAAGTCAACTCAAAATGGATCAAAGACCTGGGAATCAGACCAGAACTGTAACTCCTAGAAGAAAATGTAGGGTCAACACTCCAGCATATAGATATAGGCACTGACATTCCCAGGAGAACTCCTAAAGCTCAGGAAATGATATCAATAATTAATAAATGGAATGGCATCAAATTGAAAAGCCTCTGCACAGTGAAAAAAAAAACCACTAATGTGAAGAACCTACAGAATGGGAGAAAATCTTTGCTAACTGCTCTTGTGACAGAGGATTAATATCCAGAATATATAAAGAATTCAAAAAACTTATCACACACAAAAAAATAACACTTAACCCAATTAATAAGTGGGCAAAGTAAACAGACACTTCTCCAGAGAAGAAATACAAATGGCCAGCATATATATGAAAAAGTGTTCAACATCTTTAGCAATTAAGGAAATGCAAATCACATCTATGCTAAGATTACATCTCACTCTGGTTAAAATGGCAGCCATGGAGGACACAAATACTAAATGCTGGAGAGAATGGGGAGAAAAAGGAACACTTCTACACTGTTGGTGGGATTGTAATATACTACAACCACTGTGGAAATCGGTATGGAGGTTCCTCAAAAGATGAGGAATGAAACCACCATATGACCCAACTATCTCACTCATTGGTATTTATCCTAAAGAATTAAAGTCAGCATACTATATTGATATATGCATGCCCATGTTTACAACAGCACAATTCAGTGGTCAAACTATGGAACCAGCCAAGGTATCTATTATCACTGAATAGATAAAGAAAATGTGGTAGATATAAACAATGGAGTTTTATTCAGCCATAAAGATAAATGAAATTATGTCACTGGTAGGAAAATGGATGGAAATTGAGAACATTATGTTATATGACATAAGTCAAACTCAGAAAATCAAAATTTGTGTTCTCTTTCATGCATTGAAGAAGAAAAAGGAAAAGAAAAGGTTAGGAGGGTAAATCTCATGAAGATTGGAGGGAGATCACTAGAGTGGAGGAAAGGGAACCAGAGGAGGCAGGTAAAGGGGAAAAAGGGAAATACAGGGGAATGATACTGCATTTTATTGTTATATTGTGAGCAGGTATGGAAATGTAACAACAAATCCATTGTTATGTACAATTATAATGCGCCGATAAAAATATGGACAAAAAATTGGAACAACAACAAAAATAAAGAGGTTGTCTTTTTTTTTTTTTAAACAGGCAACACACAATTCAGCCTTGTTTTTATGTTTGCTTTTTACAATATCCTAATTGCAGGGCTGGGATTGTGGCTCAGCGGTAGAGCCTTCATCTAGCACGTGTGAGGCCCTGGGTTCGATCTTCAGCACCATATAAAAATAAATAAAGAAAATAAAGATATTGTATCCAACTACAACTAAAAAATAAATATTAAAAAAAATCCCAATATCCTAATTGGTGTAATTTAGACTGTTCACATTTAAAGCGATCATTTATTGAACTACTTGAGTTAATAACTACCCTGTTTGCAACTGCTTCATATTTGTATTTATTATACTTGACATTCATACTTAATTTTAAATTCATAATTTTATTTTATTTATTTACTTTTGTCTTCAAGAGAACCCTTTCAAACCCCCTCAAAACCGATCGTGCCTGGGACGCGTTATGCAAGTACATAATGGAAGAAAAGCATCACATCGGCTCAGGCGGGTAGGAAGGATGCAGGGATCCAGCAATGCAATTCTAGGATGCACGCAAAGGTCAGGTCTTTGCCTCAAATCCGCCCGACACTGACATACATACGCTCCAGCCAATGAGGGCCTTCCTAGAGCCTAACGCAGCCCTCAAGGGGCGGGACTCCCCCGTGCCATTTGCGTACCGGGAGTGCGGCTAGGAGATTGCGCAAAGCCCCAGGAGGCGTGGCTTACGGGTCCGCGGCTTCCCGGGCTGGCTGGGCGGGGTGCTGGGTTGCCAGGACGACCGTAGCGGGTTAGTAGCAGAGTCGTTTGGAGACTCCCGGCGCGTAGAAGACTGAGTACCGGTGGAGAGGTCGTTCGCAGTGGCCGCTTCCCGGCAGTACGTGGGGGAACCGCACGGACAACAGGATCTTCTCCTCCCCACCCCCTCATCCCCCCCACCCCCGAGCGCTCTGGTGTGTGACAGGCTGCACCAGCTGATCCCGGATCCCGGGTGGCGAAGGGGCTTCGCAGATCCGCAGAAAACCTCCTGGCGGGTCGCCGTGGCCTGCAGGCTCTGCTCCCTTCAGGCGGTGTTCATTTGCTATCAGGGACTTGATTTGCTGCCACTTAGAAGCACCTTAAAAAGGGGGCGGGGGGCTTTGTGAAGAAGGCTCTGCGCATGCTGATTGGCACAGCGGTTATAGGGAGTCCGCTGCCAGAAGGGCCCAGACGGTAACAGGGCTTCGTCTTCTTTGCAGAACCATGGGCAGCAAGAAGAAGGAAACTGCTTTGCAGGTAAGCCTCAAGGGGCGCTAGCTTCCAGCACTTGGTTAGGGTTGGAGGGTGGTGTGGTATGGTGTGGTGTGGAGGAGAGGGGAGGGTGCAGTACGAAAGTCATGTTCTCTTTGCTAGCAGTATGTAACGGTATTCTAGAACTTGAGTTTTCTACCCTTATGTCTTAAAGTTAAAAAAAATTATCTCGGACCCCTCGTTTTGACAAACTTTTCATGCATAAATATATATAAACAAAATTGGGCAAAAGCTTTTTTGCTTATAGTGCACATACAACCGTAAGGACCCGAACATGCGTTATCACAAATCAAAACTAAGGAAAGATTATCCAGCATAATTCCCAGGTGATAGTTGAACTTCTTTGCTGAAACATAGTTGCAACTTGCATGGAGAATATGATATAGATGATTTTGAGTTTGGGCATGGCTCTGTACCTCTGTGCTTTGTGCAGATTTCTCCATCACTGTTCTCTTCGCTTATTAACAATATTCTTTGAGATGTATTATGTGATGAGCATTTGTTATACAGAGTGCCTAACTTCATTTGCACTTAAGACAAGTGAAACTGTAAGTTTTTGTTACCTCTTGTTTTCTTCTTGGTCCTGGACAGTAAGTAGCGAGTGATTCTACAGCTATGGTAAAAACATGCATGCCTGGGCCCTGGAATTGGGAGAGAGGACTTTGTCATAAGATCATTGAATGATCTGTAATATGGGTACATTTAAAAACAAGCTTTAGAATGTCTCATAAATCAACTGAACCCCCAAAGATACATGCTTAGGCTGCAGAAGCCAGATATAGTTCTTGAAATTTTCTCTAAGTCAATTCTGTGATTTAAAATATATTACATAACTTCTCTGGGCTATGGCTTGCCCATTGTGGGATGAGGGTGTGTGTGATATCCTTAAGGGTCTTCTGGCTTTGCTATTCTAGGACTCTGAAGGTGGGAATCTTCTGTCTGTAGTAGATTCTGAGCACCTTGCCCTCCCACTTTTTCTATGTGTATCATTTTTTTCAGCGTATATGAGCCCCATATCCTTTATATAAATGGGGAGGGGAGGAATACATAACTTGCAGAGTTGTAATGAGATTCTTTTGGAAGTTTCCAGATCCGTCTGAATGCTTTCTGTGGTTTCTCTGATGTTATTGGCCCATATGATTATCATCTCATAGGTTTATGTCCTATATCCCCATTGGGGGTAATGTGTTAGCAATATTATTTTTTCATGTGAATTCCTCACAGCTCTAAGTACCATTTGCTGAGGAGAAGGGGGAACAGCAGCCCCTCCCCACTCACACCAAGGAATCTGTGTATCACCTACGTATAAAGTAAACCCCTTGAAAGCAGTGCCTAGGGTCTGCCATCCTAGGAACCCTGTCCTGTCTCTGGGTTTCCTTCTGTGACTAAGAATCAGAAATGATAGGATATTGAGGCAATCTGTTCAAAGGTGTTAATACATTTCCCATTATTTCCCTACCAAACGTGGGGCTTAGTGAAGTTCAAATAGTTTCTATTCTTTTCTCCTCCTGCCCTTCTTCTAGGGGTGAGATTCTTCAGCTACCCAGAGTCCTGGACCCAGAGGTGATGTAGCTCATTCCATGACAGGAAGAGCCACAGAGAGTTTGCCAGTGACTTATAGTTGAGCCTCTGGGGCGGGAGTGGGAGCTTTTCTGATCTCTCCTGTCATTTGCCCCAGGACTGTAGTTGTGCCTCCAGGATGACAGATGTTTAAGGCTCTTACCTCTTTTAAGGAAACCTACAGTATGATATTGTTCATGTGCATTTTAAAGACACTAAGAAATTTTATATCCTGATTTTTTTTGTCATAGAAACAAAAAGTCAGGAGTATGCTTTCTTAAAAAAAGAGACTTCTCACAGAGGACTTGCAGATGTTACATGATTCCTGCCCTTATTACAGATAATGTATCCTATCCTTTTATAGGAATACAGACTTTAGAATACTTGTATTAAAAACAATTTGTAATTTTCATGGTATTCCAAATATTAATTACAAGAGGAAAGAGAGTGGTTTTTTTAGTGCAGGAGTCTGAGAGTAGCACCTTGTTCTGGTGGTTAATCGGCAGATGGAAATTGTGTATCACCTGATTGGATGTAAGCAGAGGAACTCTCTTCAGCTTCTCTAATACTCCAACCAATCTAAAGATGTACCACCTGAACCTAATCAGCAGGAACTAGACACACCATTTTACAAAACAACTGGCATATAGTTTTTAAAAGTTTTGAGATTTTGAAAATAAAAGAAAGAGTTAAGAATTATTCTAGGTGAATTGATGCTAAGAGATTTGACTAGTGTGGGATTCTGATTACCTCCTTTGCTATCTAGGACATTATTGGGACAATTGGTAAAACTTTAATGGCATGTAAGGATTAAATGTAACAGTATATCAGTGTTTTTTTCCCCTGATGTTGATGATTTTATTGTGGCTATATAGGATAATGTATTTGGGAGTGATGGAATATCAGACTAACAATCTACTTCTAAATATACCCCCACACATTCTTTATAATGTACTTGCAAAATTTCTGTAAGTTTAAAATTGTTTCAAAGTAAAAATACATTCTGTATACTCTATAAAAATGTCTACTATTAATGAAGAGGGATAATATGCACTTCTCCTTGAATTCCATGTCTAATATAAACCAGAACTCTTTTTAGATAAAAGAAAAAGAAGTGAATGAATGGTAATAAATTCAACTCTTAGTTATTTGTGATACTGAGTGAAAATATAAATTGCAAAAGGAAAGCTATAATATTATACTGTTCATGTACATTTTAAAGACACCAAGAAATTTTATGTACTGTTTCTGAAGAAGTAACATTTTTTAAAATGCTAAGAATAATATGTATCACTCTTAGTTTAGTGTTTTGTTTTTTTTTTTTCTGGGGGAAAGAAACAGGAAGAAAGGTAAGGACTAAAGAAGATTGGGGAGAGAGAAAAACTTGAATGTATTTCTAAGTATTTTGGAGAAAGACAAAATTCATGAAATTGTTTCCCCATTTGTGCCCTCGGTGTTAAAGCATTTGATTCTCTGAATTTAGGTCAACATCAGCACCCAGGAGCTTTGGGAAGAAATGCTGAGTTCCAAAGGACTAACTGGTAATTCAAAATAAAATATATTTTTTTTCAAGAATGTTGATTGAAGTGTTGAGCCATAAAGAGAAGGCTGCAATAACCTTTTCCTATAACCTTGAGCCTCATAAACAGCCAGGTGCTTTCTTTGTGTCTGTGTGTATAGTAGTTCTCCCCTTGTCTGTGGTTTTGCTTTCTAGTTTCAGTTACCTGCAGTCAACCACAATTCAGAAACATTAAATGGAAAATTCCAGAAATAAACATTTCATAAATTTTAAAACACACACCATTCTGAATAGCATGATGAACTCTTACATCATCCCATGGGTTGATGGGACATGAATCATCATTTTGTTCAGTGAATCAACACTGTATATGCTACCTGCCCATTAGTCTTTTAAGTATCCTGCTTAGTTATCCAAAAGACTGTCATGGTATTGAAGTGCTTATAAAATGTTGGGTACTATCCAAAGTATCAGGCATCCTCTAGGGGTTTTAGAACAAATTCCTGAGAAGAAAGATGGGTATTGTATTTATATCTGGCTTGAACATCATAAATTTGGTTCAGGAAATGAGTCAGTACTGTCAGAAAGCAGGGTTTCCTTATTTTAGAGCTGATTGTCATTCTCAGGGTTGTTTGATGTTCAGTTATAGAAACTTCTTCTAATTACCCGAGGCACAAAAGGAGAATGCATTAGAAGGAAAATGGGGATCTCTTGGAACTCTCAGATAGGAGGAAGAGCCAGGCATCATAAGGCACTGGAACCAGGAACAGCACAGTAATCACTAGGAAGCAGCATAGCCACTGCCCAGGGGCCTCCTTGTTCTTAATCCTTCTTGTATCTGTCATCTGTTGCTGCACAAAACTAGTGGTTTACAACCACAAACATTTATTATCCCACAGTTTCTGTGAGTCAGAAATTCAGATGCAGCTTAGTTGGGTTCCTCTGGCTCAGGAGTGCAGTTGTTGGAAGGTTTCAAAGCTCAATTTGGGGCAGATTGGCTTCTAAGCTTTTGGCCAAATTTAGAAGGTCCACTTCCAGGTCCACTCGTGTGGCTGTTGGCAGGATTAAAATCCTCACTAGTTGTTGGCCAGAGACATCAATTTCTTGCTATCAGTTTCTCCATGAGGCTGCTCAGGACATGGCAACTTGCTCCTTTAAAGCAGGGCTCTGGGAGCGCATGTGATGGAAGTCAGTCCTTATTAACCTAATCTTGAAAGTGATATCCTCCTGCCCTCTTCTGATCACTAGAAACCCACTAAGTCCAGCCCAGGGAGTACCAAGAGGCTGATCTTTGGCGACATCTTAGAGGTTACTACCTCCCTCGCACTCATTATTATTCCTTTCTCTTCCTCTTGATATCTTTCTCCAGATTACCTCTGGGCTCTGTTATTCTCTGCATGTCTGCTTGTATCTGTTCTTATCCATGTCTCTGCACCCCATTTGGATGACTTCCACATTCGAGAACTCTTGCTCTCTTGTGACTTGATCTGTCTTCCCAGCCCCTTCCCCACTGCTTCCTGAGCTGAGTCCTGGGTGCTGACATTTTCCCAGAACATGTCACATGTTTCCCTGCTTCTTCACTTTACCCTTGTCCCTACTCCCTGGCATATCATGACTCATCTCAGCCTGTTGAGAGCTTTCTCCTTCCCAGACCCAGCTCCAAAGTAGCCTCCCTGGGTGAAATCTTTGCGGAAACTTTGTATGGTTCAGGAGCCCCTGGACTCTGTCAAGCCCCTCACCCCCATCCATGTGGGTGCCATTAGATTCTTAACACCACAGCGCTGGCTCTCTCATCTCTCATCTATAGCCCACCTGCCCAGACCTGGGCCAAGTGGATGCTAAATAAATGCTGGTTGCATTGATCCATTTGTGTGGGTGTGAGTAGTGCCACACACTCCGATTTGAGGAATTATATAAAGCCTTTTCAATGGTGCCAAGACTGAATTATTGTGTTCTGTCTGGGCAACTGGAACCCAACTCCAAGGTGAGACAACCACTGCTTGTTTCTTCAGCAGCAGTGATTTCCTGCATGCCAGCTACCTTGCTAAGCACCAACACCATACCAAACACTGACTCTGCCAAGCCTGCGCTAATGCTCTAGGGCCTTGTAGGCAGCCAGGCTCCTCCTGGCCCCTGATCATCAGGCAGCTAGATGAACACACACACAGTATAGATGCTCATTCTCCCTGGAGCCAGCAGAAACTTGCTTCCAAGGTCAACAACGGTCTTGGGAGTCTTCCTGTGCTGGCTCTTTTGCACCTGCCTTCAAACATGCTAGTCTAATCAGGTCACGCGGTTCAGGCACTCTCATCATTTCTGCCCTTTCTTCCAGGGGTCTTCTCCATTTTGCTTCCTGCCTTTCAGAGTCAACCTCTTAATGCCCCTTCCTCTCCAGCATCCCTCAGGCCCCACCTGACTATCTCCTAAGTTGGTGGAGTTTGTTCCCATAGCTCCTGCCTAGAGCCAAGGAGAATGAGAGGGGACTAGAAGCTGGTAGAAGCGGCAGGTGAACTGTCGATGCAAATACTGCCTGGGGATTTTAAGCTGATCGGGGCCCACTGTCTTTCTTTGCAGTAGAACCTGCCCTCCTAGCTTGACTCAAATGCTTTCTTGCCTCCGCCCACATCACCATGGAGTGTTGAAATCCAAACATTGGCCAATTGTGAGTCCTGTTCTCAAGCCCAGCGTCTGATCCCTCCACCTGGACACTGAGGAGGCCAAAGCCCCCTCTCTGCCCCTGCTCTCCTTCTGAGTGTCTGGTTGCCTGTGCAATCTCTTGGTTAGCACCAGAAAACCAGCCCAACTAGAACTAGTTCAACATTCCTCATCCCTTCAACTCTCTCTCCAACTCCACCCAGGTCTTTTTCTGCCAGGCTCAGAGGTGGAGTCCCTTTCACACCCCTTGGTGTTCATCCACATCTCCATTTCCACATTCCTTTGGCAGAGGTTGTGGTCCCCACCTCTTTGGCCTCTCACCCCACTGCAGCTCCTGTCTGGCTGCCTCTCCTCCCACCCAGCCTAGGTCTCACATTCTGCAAAATGCTGCTGCCTGCTGAGCCAGCCCTTGCTCTTGAACTGGCGTGTCTTCCTCCTTGCCAGGAACAGCTGAAAGAACGTGGGCTGTGACCTCGGACAGCCTGGCGCAGTATTTGGTTCTGCTAGGCTAGGGATTGACTATGTCTCCTCTAAAACTCCAGTGTTGAAACTTAATGGCCAAAATGGTGGCATTAAAGGTGGATCCCCGAGGGCTCTTCCCCTCAAGAATGGGATTGGCGCTTGATGGAGGGAGTTTGTCCCTCCTGTCCTTCACCTTCCAACACATGTGAACACAGCTTTCACCGAAGCTGCCAGTCTTGGTCTTGGCCTTCTTATATTCCAAAATTGTGGGAAACAGCTGTCTATTGTTTATAAACCACCCTGTGTGGAATTCTTACCTTTGGCCAGCAGCTTCACCTCTATGAACTTCAGTTTCTTCATCTCTATCTTGGGATGATTCTCAACTCAGTGGGCTTTTTGAGAAAAAAGCAAAGCACAGATGCTTGCTTTGGCTCAAGAAAAGTTAGGTTCCTTTCCTCTCTGAAACTTACTGTGAGTCCTTCCTTATGGCCACATAAATCCAGATGAAGGTCTTCAAGTCCACATCTCAGACTTCTCCAATGAGCCCCACCACCATTTCCCATCACACAGGCCTGGGCAGGTCTGGTTAGGGCAGGCAGCCCAGGGTCCCTGAATTCCCCCTGTGTGTGCCTGGCTGCCCAGGCTTTGCAGCATGCTTACTTCTCTGCCCATGCATGGCCAGCATTTCTGCAATGCTCAGTACACCTGCCCTCCACCCAGAAGGCTGCCTTCCCTGGCTAGTACAAAATGGTGTTAATGCTGTGCCACCAGAATCTATGCTTAATTTTAGTCATGATAGTTTGTTAGAGTAATTGTACTCACTTGATGTGAAACTATGGAAATATAAATCTGCATTAAAAAATTAAAAATTGCATGCTATTAAAGCTGGTAGACTAATAAATTATAAGCAATTTTTACACTATTTGCCTATAACTATGTTATGGTAGCTGTTGAATGGAAATACCCACCTGTGTGGATTAGGCACAAACTCTTAAGTGGTGAGGCTCCTGGAAAACACTCCTCTACAATATGGCCCCCAGTAAGCGACAGTCTAGCTCTTGCTGCTGCCTCCTGATTGGGCAGTTCCTGCATATATCTGGTACACAGGAGTTGGTTGAGCCTGCCTAGCCATGACACCCTCTATAGATCGGGATCAAAAAAGATAATGGAATCCAAGTTCCCATCTCATTCTCCAACAAGTTCTCTTTGCAGGAGAAAAGTACTGATTTTATAAAGTAAATTAAATTCTTTTACTCAAAGCAAATGGCTTTTATCAATCAGGGAAAAGTTTAAAACTGTGTTTACTCTAGAGCAGGTGAGTCAATTATATGCTGACTGGTCACCCACAGTAACCTTCATGGCTCTTCTTTTGGAACAGATGGTTTCAGTCCAATTCAGATAATCATTGAGGGTCACTCTGTGCCAGGTTTGACCCTGAATGTAGCCTGAAAAATCTGTAAGGTAAAGAGGCCACTGTAAGAAAATTACTTTCTGCCATACTTTCTTCAATATGTTTTGAATTCAGAATACTGAGTTCATAAGAACAAGGGACAGTGGTTTCCATGCTCGCTCACAGTCTGATGGAATAAAAAACTCCTTTAACCATTAAGTATCCCTGCAAACAGATGAGACTTGAGGGCATTAGAATGTAAGGGAATGGCTGTGCCTGTCTGGAGGGTGGGGTGCCTGCTGACCCTGCTTCTTGGCTCCTCACAGTTGTTGATGTCTACCAAGGCTGGTGTGGCCCCTGCAAACCTGTGGCAAGCCTCTTCCAGAAGATGAGGATTGAGGTTGGCCTGGACCTTCTGCACTTTGCATTAGTAAGATTCCCTCCAAACCAAAGGTCATAAAACACTGTTGACATTGTCATGATGCCTTCTAATTTCTCTAGATGTAGAGATCCTTACCCCTCCACCCACTGCAGTCCTTTTGGCTCAGGCAATCTCTTTATGCTGTGTGAAAGGAAGGAATCCATGTCACTCCTATGCATATACTCCTGGTCTCATGAACACTATTGATTGAAACATCACTTTCAGAGCACCATGTTTCAAGATTTCCAACCTCTGTTTCATAAAGGGGAACTTATAGCAAATGCTTGTTTTGTTTCATGTGTGGAAATGGAAATAAATTTCAGAGAAGTGTGCAAGAGACACTGTTCATATGCTGCATGGGTTCAAGGTTCACAGACAGTGAAGACAGGAGATAATATAACATACGCTGATCTCTCAAGAAGTTGGATTTCCAGGACTCTCCACTTGGGACTCAGTCTCTCCTTGGGACTCAGACTTGGTGCTTCTATAGCAAGGGTGTTGCTGATTGGCTCACCTGGGGGATCTGTGGTGTCTACATACAGTGGGTTCGTCAGACATCAAAGGCAATTTCTGAGGATTTTTCATGTCTGCTGTTGCCAGTCATGGCCGCAGAAGGACACCAGATGGTGGAGTTTCCTTGGACTGGTGGAGTAGCTGGGTGAGAGAAAGAGAAAGTCTTTTTCCTCCTCATTAGACTCTTTAAGGAAGTACACTTTTCACAATTACCAGTATGTTGACAGGACAGTTGTGATTAGAGCGAGCAGCAGGAGAGCAAGTTGGGCTTCACCTGGGGAGGTTGGTCATGGGGGTATGGAGTTCTCAGGGCCCTGTGCCCAGGTCCAGTGGGTGCCTGCTGACAGTTTGTCTTCTTTAGGCAGAGGCAGATTGTCTTGATGTCCTTGAAAAATACCGAGGGAAGTGTGAGCCAACCTTTCTGTTTTATGCAGTAAGTACATCTGTAGAATAAGAACTATTTGATGGTTACAGATCATTAGCTTTCAAATAGATGCAACTCAATGTCATTAATTGCCTCAGACCTGGTGACACATACCATCTTGACCCTGTTTAGGACAGTGGCCTTCAGGCCATCCCTACTCCCCAGGAGAGAGAGGACACAGTTCTCTGGTGGTCACAGTTGGCTGGGGCAGCCATCCTGACTGGCCATACGTGGGAAAGAATGAGACACTCAAATACACATGCTCCTTCTTGGCTCCTATACACTTTAGACTATGGATTCACTCTCAGAGCACAGGGTTTGAAGATTTCTATCCTCTGTTCATAAAGAGGAAATTTTAGCAAAAATGAATACTTCCTTATGGGGCAGACAAGCTCTGCATTCATCTTTTCAATCATAAAATGTGAAGAAACATGAGAGACTATTGAGGAAAGCTATATGGCACCGTGTTCTGACAAGCTAATGTGGATGTCTCTGAGTGTGACATCCATGGCCCCACTCCATGCCCCTTAGGGCCCAACGTCAGATCTGGCTTCCCAGGTTGAGGCCAACTGCTATACCTGAAGGAAATGGAATAACAGGCTATTTCCAACCCAGTCCAGCCCCTCATTGTATTCAGAGAAAGTGGGATCTTCTCTCCCAGGGCTCCTGAGAGCCAGGCCAGGGTTGTTAGTTTGGAAAACGTAGGCCTCCTGGGCTTGTTACAGCCTTGCAAGTCTTACAAGTTGGGAAACATAATGAAACATTTGAGCTTCAGTTTTCGGTAGAGACTCAAGTTATACTATGAACTGAGATTGGGGGAAGGGAGGGATTAGTGGGAAGATCAGAGATGAGTGTCTGTGGCCACACCAGACGGAGCTCAAGTGCAGGAAGGGGATCATTATCACAGTAGTTTGGCTGTGTAAGTCCCTGGTGATGAAAGCATATAAACCATTCCTGGCTGGGTGGGAACACAAGCCTCAATCTCCAACTCTATTATGGGCCACTACAGGATGGCTGGAAAGGTAAGGGAGCTTGCTTTACATGGCCTTCACTCTCCAGATTCACTCCTTTTGGGTACTACTTATAGAGACTCTTGTAAAAGTGAAAGCAGAGAATTCAGGCTCACCCTAAATACACCTCCATTGTGAAGTCTTCCCTGACTACCCCAGCCAGTGTTGGGAATTCTTGCCCCAAGTTCCAAACACCTTATAAGTTCCCCTATTAAAGTGATTCTCTTATCATAGCCTAATTGTCTATTTGGAATGATTACTCCATCCTTCATTCATTCAGTGACTATGTCTTTTCAAGTTTAGTGCGTATTCTTTGCCTCTGCCTGGGTGCTTGGCATAGTAAGTGCTCAATAAATATTTGTTTAAAAATAGGCTATATGTAAGTCACCCCCAACTTTTTGTGTACTGTTCCTCCTTTAACTAACTACCAGTTGCCCTGAAGGAAGCTTTGAAAGGAGGGGCACAAGGTGGAAGGTAGAGATCACAGTGAGAGATTATTTTAGAACTAAGAGCAGACCTGAGGAACTAAAGCAGATCTAAAGCAGACTTGACTTTAATGGGAAGGGCCCCAGAAGGTGGCAGAAGAAGTGAATATCCCATGTTGGAAATGGGTGGTAGAGGCTGTGGGCCTGGGGTCAATGGACTTTGACCCGGGCATACTCTTAAACACTCCCAATGTTGAAAGAGATTAACGTGTGAAGAGGCTCTCATGAGGTGTGCGGTTTATTATAGGGAGGAGAACTGGTGGCTGTGGTCAGGGGAGCAAATGCTCCACTGCTGGAGAAGACCATCCTCGACCAACTGGAGGCTGAAAAGAAGGTGCTAGCTGAAGGCAGAGAACGGAAAGTGGTAAGTAGAGGTCACTTCCACAAACAACAAATTTATGTCTGCTTGTATGGGAAAGCCAGCAGTCTCCCCACTCCCACCTTCACCTGATTTTCTTGGAGCTATGAGAGGAAAGTTTCATGAATGTCCCACATTGGATCTGTTCCTCACTGAGAGTGCACAATGCTGTGATATATCTGCATTTTGAAGCCTTTTAAAAGCTGTCCCCTTCAACCAGGACCCTTTAATTTCTTTTATTCATTTTTCTTTCACCCTCCACTTCAATTTTTAACCATTAATTCCGAAAGGAAAATAAATTTACAGAATTGAGTAGTGGTATGTTAGTCAGATTTCTGTTACTATAACAAGATACTTGAAATAATCAACTTAAAAAGTGGAAAGGTTTATTTTGGCTCACAGTTTTAGGGGCTTCAGTCCACGATCAGTAAGGCATGTTGCTTTTGGACCCACGGTTAGGCAGCACATTATGATGGAAACATGCAATGGAGGAAACTTTCCCTCATGAAGGCAGAGAAGAAACCATGTTGTCTCACAATTCCCTTCCAGTGATCAAAGACCTCCCACTAGGCCCCTCCTCTTATAGATTCCACAACCTTCCAATAGCGCCAAGCTGAGGACCAAGCCTTCAACACTTGGGCCTTTGCGAGACACCTATCCAAATGATAACAAGGAAGAGTCTCCCACTCAGCCTTGGGGTAAAGTCTCTCTGGGTGACCCATAAACTCAAGTTCCTGAAGGTTTTATTTGTAATTCCCTTAATTTAGAAACCAAGCTCTGTCATTACTATAAAAACAGGATCAGCCTAGCTAGTGATTTTGATTATTTCCACAATAACACAGACTACACATTCTTCACAAATAATTGTCTGCTTTTGAAAACCAACACACAGAGAGTATTTCCAGGTGCTTTTGCAATCTGCTAAACTGCTCAAGTTTTCTTATTCAATTCCAAATAGCAAAGCTCTTTTTTAATGGAATGAATTAGCATTGAATCTTATTTTTTCCCAAACCAGTTTTCTGCAAATGCTTCCATTCTTATGAGCCTCTTCTGGGGAACAATGATCTCTCCCTTTACTTCTCTGCACTGTTTAGCCTATCACTTAACATTTACTTACAGTTTAATTCTTTCTCTTGCCAACTTTCTATTTTTCCTTAGTCTCTACTTAATGCTTGTGAAAAGAGGCAAACTCTAACATTTAAGATAAGCATGGATTTCTTGGTCCTCTCTGTGTCCCATCACCCTGCTACTAAAAAAGGATCTTGTAAGTCTCCAGGACTTTCCTCACCTTGCCCTTGCCACTTGTTCCACCTTTTGTAGCTTTATTTTTTGTTGTCATTTCTGTAGGGTTTTGAAGGTCTTAGGGGTAATTTAAATTGGCTAACTATTTTCTGTTCCTGACCAATTTGTACTAGATTAAAGATGAGGCTCTTTCTGATGAAGACGAATATTTTCTCCATGAAAAAAATGATGGAGAAGATGAGGACGTGGGTGAGTGCAGAACCAATGAGCAAGGCCAAAGGCAAAGGAGGTTCAGATCTGATGTGAGTAATCAGGTCATTGAGATATCTGGACTCTGGCAATATTGACCATGAAATGTCTCCAGTCACCTGAGTTCAAATGTACTGTGGTCAAATCTCCCTTCTGCCCTATAAAAGCATCTTGGCTACATTTCACAGCTTTCTGATCATGCTTCAAATATAACAAGCTTGGATTTCATGGCAATCACCAGGCCTCTGTTAAGCGTTACATGGAGGGTAGAAGAACTGGTCATGCAAAGCGATAATGCTGGTGTTTCCTTGGTCCTTGGCTGATCTGGAAAGTTCGAGTTTCTATTATCATCTCTTTCTCAAACATCAGAAAACCTTCCCTCCCCCCAGCTCTGTGCCCTTCTTCCCTTACTGCTGAAGCATCAACTCATTTTCACTCATGGGCAACTTGGCTGGCCAGTGAAGACAGCTGGGAGTCGGGCTACTGCTGGGAAGGCATCTCTTGGTGGCAACTGAGATGCCAGGGGAACCAGGATCAAGTTCAGGAACTGAGCTGATGACAAATGGAGGGTGTTTTTTTAATGTTTTATTCTAATTTGTTATATATGACAGCAGAATGCATTACAATTCGTATTATACAAATAGAGCACAATTTTTCATATCTCTGGTTGTACACAAAAAGCAGGTTTTTAAATTATTATTGAACAAAGTAGAGAGACTGTTTTTAAGTGTTTTTTGTTTGTTAAATAAGGCTATTTGAGTTGGAAAATTCTAACAGGGAAGGAGTTGTGGCTTAGGAAAGCAAAAAAACTTCAAGTGCAAAAAGAAAATCAGCCATTTGACTCTGCAGGAAACATTCTTTGCCTGCTTTTTGCATTATCTCCTCTTTCTTTCTTCCTCCATGATTTCCTCCCAAGTCTCTCCAACCTGGAAAACCACACAAAACCTTGTCTTTGTCCTGAGCCATCTCCTTAACAGCCAAGCTTCCTGAACTTTGTCCACACTCTTGGGGCCACCCCTCACCCTCCACTCGTGCTGGACCTGCTGCATTCTGGGTGTACCCATTGCTTCCTGAAAGGGTGCCCACAGGGGGCATTGGACCTCCTTGGTAACAGGTTCATATTCTGTGGGATCTCCCTGCAGAGCAGGATGATATTCCTAGCATCTTCTTCTCGAAACTGTTCTCTCTTTTGGGCACTAAGGTATCATGACTCTCCTCCTTTTCCTTCACATCCCTGGCCCCTCCTCAGCATCTCCTTCATTGAGTTCCATTCCAGCTAGAGTTCTCCAGGTCCCTGCTTAGGCCTCTTCTCACTCTACCCTCCAGGTGGTCTTGTGAGTCAGCCAATGTATAATGGAATTTATTATAAAAGACTAAGTGCTCATAGCATGTTGGTAATCCCGGGAAAACTGACAGGTTTGATTGCTTAAAATGATTTATACTGTTGGGTTTCTGTCACTGTAACAAATACCTGAAATAATCGATTTATAAAGGTGAAATATTTATTTTGCCCACAGCTTGGGAGGTTTCAGTCCATGACTGATTGGGCCTGCTACTTGTGGGCCTGTGATGAGAGCACAGCGTGGGAGGAGAGAGGTGCATCCTTCAAGGGCCCCACCAGGACCCCTCATACAGGTTCCACCATCAACCAATAGTGTCACATACTAGGACCCAGACTCTACTTACCCAAACCATAGCACATGTATTTTCAGCACCTTATTCAGATTTTCAGAGCCAAAGGTCCTCCTTATATGTAGATATTGTTTTGTTTCACTGCAACATAATCAGTATAAAGGTTGAGAAACAGAAAATAGATGAGGGGGTATGCTGATCCTGTGGAGAGAGCAGGTAATACACCAAGGCCACAGAAGCAGGAGTGTGATGGAGATGGGCTTGTGGACAGACTTTGGTTTCCTTACAGACCTTTCCAGAACCTGGCCTAAGCAATGGACTCTTCTCATTGCTACATCTGATTGGACGGGTGGGCACTGACTGAAGGGCAGCCAACCCGTGGACTAGCCAGTGGGCTTTGGGTGGTGCCTTGGATCAAGAAGATGAGTTCACTGGTAGAGCACTAGCTTCTCTCAGGAAACCTTGAACTGGGAGAGGACTGAAGCTGCAGTTTGGTAGCATGTGCTGGAGCTGGAAAGTCATGCTGATTCAGGACTTGGGGCAGCCATACTTACCACATGGCAGGAAAGGTTCAAAGAGGCAGAGACAAAGGAGCCAGCCAAGCGGGGAACATGGCAGATAGCAGTTAGAGACTCAGAGTCTTCAGGAGCTAATGGGAAGGGGTGAGGATTCCTGGGCCCGTGTTGCCTCTGCTCCAGCACCCTCTGTGCAACTCTGTTCCTCCTACTCATTGAGTTGTTTCTGCCTTTCTGTTCCTAATTTCTTCAGCAATCCTCTTACCTGTCTGTCCCCTGATCCAGGGACCAAGTATTGTCCCCCACAGCCCAGCTGAAGTTGAATTAGGTGGGTGCATCCACTAGAGTCGGGGTCTGCAGGGTAAGCAAAGAGGCCAGGGGAGAGAACCAGGAGCTCAAGCCTTGGCCTGGAACGTGGTTTGCAATGGAACCTGTGTAGAGGCTGCACTGTCCCCTCAAGTGGCCTCTTAGTGCCTCAAACACCAAAATCTGACTGCACATCCCCTGGCTTATTTCAGTGTCATCAGAGGAGACCTGTACCTTGGCAATCATTAAGCCAGATGCAGTGGTCCATGGAAAGACGGATGAGATTATTATGAAGGTAAAGGAGAAACACTTACCAGGCACGACTGTCCTCATTCCTCTCTGTTGGATAAGCAGGGATGGGGTACCAGGCAGTGGATTCCTGCTGAGGAAAGGAGGATTCCATAGGGTTGGAACTCAAATCTGATTGGGACAGATGCTGGGGGAATGAGGGTCCTCACTGTTTTTAAAGTTGCTTATCTTTATTTTTTAAATTTCAACTAATTTAAATGCACATTTGGATTTGATTTACCCTTTCAGAATACTTATATATGTTCTATAGATCCAAGAAGCTGGGTTTGACATTCTAACAAACGAAGAGAGAACCATGACCGAGGCAGAAATGCGTCTTTTCTACCAACACAGAGCTGGAGAGGTCAGCTCATCTGCTCCCATATGCTTACCATGTTCTCCTCCTCCAACATTATGCCTATAGATTAACAGTAGTTTGAGAGATGATAGAACATTATGAAGGACAAGGATATGAACAGCAAGTGGGTCATGAATTTGCACTCAGAATCACAGTCATAGCTTCTATCAGTTCAAGGAAAAGATTTTGACACTGAGTAACAAAATAAAGAATTTACTAGATGGGTACTCTGTAGCTCACAGAATTAACAAAAAAAAATTGAATGAAGTGTTTACCAGGAAGTGCTTGGAGAGAAGAGGAATGAAGGGAGCTCAGAAGCCAAAGGCTGACAACACAAAACTTAAGACAACCCAGATTCAGCTGCTTTCCATTTGCTTTTACTTCAGACTCACCTCCTTGGGAGTCTAGTTGACCTAGCAGAGGTCACAGCCCCTACCTCTCAGGTTAGAGGTGCATTGGGGGTACTAAGCATCATGGTTGTCAAAGTAGGACCAAATGAAATGGAGAAGAGCTGTTCCCCAAAGAGGAGTTAGAGCCTTGGTACTTGAAGAAGGAAGAAGGGTTGAGAAGCATCTCAAAACAACAAAACACTTAGCTACATCCCACCCCTTGGATTTGCAGCATCAACACAATTTCCATATATATCTGGTCTTCAAGGCTCACCTTTCTGGGTTCTCTGTGGGTGGGAGGTCACTACCACCATCTTCCCCACAGCAGGCAGAGGTGGCCAGGAAATGGCTAAGTGTCCACAGGCACACACCAGCAAGGCTGCTCACTGACTCCCTCTTATCCTGTGGGTAGGATGGATTCGCTGACCCTCTTCAGGCCCTAGTATACCCTGCCCCATGTCAACAGTTTTCCTTCCCTGTGCCCAGGAGGCATTTGAAAAGCTGGTACATCACATGTGCAGTGGACCGAGCCATCTCCTTATCCTCACCAGGACCAAGGACAGCGAGGATGTGATTACTGCCTGGCAAACCCTAATGGGGCCCTGTGACCCCTGTGTGGCCAGGAGAGAGCAGCCTGAAAGGTGATGTCAGCAGCTGTGGTCCTTCCATCCATCTCAAAACCTCTACCCCACTTGGTGTTTGGTGCAGAATTGTGGGTAACGAAGCTCTCTGTTGACCAGGAGACCTCATCATTGTTATAAATTTGGGGGGGCCCTGACGCCATCCCCTTCTGATCCAGTGCCCAGTCTTTGCTGAGCACCCCTGTGAGCTGCCTCCTCCCCTCCTCTACCCTCTTCTAAAGGTTGCTGCTAGATTGGTCCAATGGCCCTTGGTCACCATTCTCTCTTCAGCCAGAGGGTCCCACCAAGTGCTTCCAGAATACAGATTCTGGGGCTCCATTCAAGCCTGTCAAGCCAGAGACACTGCCGTGTGACCTGAGAAACTGCATTATAGACACAGCCCCTTCCACCCAGGGTGTCCCAAGGCCCCTGAAATCTGGAGTACCCTGCCCGCACACTGCCCTGAGTTGACTTGGCTTTCTCCTTGGCCCTGTGTGTCACCAATGCCAAATCTGCATGTCTTAGCCTTTGAAGCTGAGAGGACCAGACAACAGAAAGGAGCTTAGCAAGAAGCCAAGGAGCTGCAGTCGGACTTACAGTTGTGAGGGGCTGAGAGCATTTATATAAAGGCAGCTGGGCTAGTGAGAAAGCCTGGGGTGTCACTAAAGCAAGTCCTTCTGAGCCTCAGTTCTCTCATCTATAAAATGAGGATATAAGTAAAATAACCATCAATGGAGGACAGAGGCATTTAGAACACTGCTCGACACACAGGAAGTCCCAGCTAAACAGTTGTATCAAGTGCATGGTAGTAATATTGACAACATGGCAGCTCAGTGCTTACACAATTACACCTGTCTAAAATGGAAATACCAGGGTTTCCCCTCTGAGGGCTTTGGTGAACTGCAGGAGATTCTGCATGTAAAACACCCAGCTGGGGGTCCAGACCACTGCCAGGACCAAATGAATGTTGCCTACTGCTGTTGTTCTTGGTATCTCTACAAAGAAAGCAATTTCACAGAAATGCAGAGTGCTGATTTGTATCTGGAAATCATGTTGCCAGAAAGCAAGACATTTCTTTTCAAATGAAACAATTGTTTCTTTCACTTTTTACCGATGTCCCCAGTCTCCGGGCTCTGTATGGCACAGAGATGCCCTTCAACGCTGTCCATGGGAGCCGCGACCGAGAAGATGCCAGCAGAGAGCTGGCATTACTCTTCCCCAGTGTCAAGTTTTCAGATGAAGATGTGGAGGCCCCTCAGGGTAAGTCACCAAGGCAGTCTGTGGGAGACCAACCTCGGTGAATAGGAGTTTGTGACTAAGTGCTTGGGTGTGTGTGGGACTGGTAATCATTTGGTAACTAATTCAAAAAACTTCTGTTCTGAAAATATGGGTCATCAGGTAACTTGGATATGAATATTAAACTGTCTTATATTTTCATAGAGAAACTATGATGCCTTTCTGTACCTCACTACATCTTTAGTTTATCTTGGAATCCTATTTTCATTATAAAGGCATTTTGTATTTCTCTGTGAAAACCACTGGGAAGGTCTTAGCAACTTAGTGAAATCTCCTGCAAAAACCTGTGTTGCTCCTGCATGTCCCCTGTGCTCCGCCTCCCCCTTCCTGAATCCCCTAGTGGGCTGAGAAGCAGGGGCTGCAGGGGAGGGCCCTCTTCCTGGAGCCCACTGTGGCACGAGCTCCAGGTCATCTTCTCCATGAAGAGAACTCAGCCTCTGGGAAAGGTAGCCTGAGTCATTACCACCTCCAAATCTGGGTGAGAACCCCACAGGGTCCAGAGTGCATGTGACAGCTCATGCCACCAGTGGAGGAATTGGCCAGCACTATTCCTGTGCCCAAGTTACATCTGCATTGAGCCTGCAGTGAGGTGGAAGGAGCTGGGAATATCCACATGAATGCTCTGGGAAAAACCAAAGGACATGAAGGTCATTCTTGGAGAAGGCTGCGTGCAGATCTGAAGTGTAATAACCTATATATGTCCAAATGTTTGGGTTTAACCCAAGGTATTTGGCTAAATGTTTGCTATGCTCATGGTTTCAAGGTCTCAAACCCAGCCACAACAGAAAGGTGGACAGGGGCTGACCTGCACTGGCCCTTATTGAGTCCTTGCCACTGCCCTGAGGTGACTATTCCCACTGGCAATTGAGGAACAGGCTGAGTACCTAGAGCCTAGGGAGTCTGAACCTGCAGGGAAGTGTGACTGTGTGTGGATCAAAGACCCAAGCCACATCCAAGTACCTGTTACCCTCCAGTCATTCCCCGCTGGGGCCAGCTTTCCCAAGGACCTGGCCTGGGATGGCTTATGATGCATTTCCTATGTGTTCACAGTCATGGGACATCTTCATCCACCTGAGGGATGACTGGAGGCATGGAGGTGTCACTCAGAACTGAGAGGAGGGTGAACTCACTGGGGTTCTGGGGAGAGTATTGGGAGATGTCAAACCTCACTTTGGCCCCAGGTGATATTGAGCAAAGGGGACGGTTCCAGAAGGAACTGTCCACCACTTTGAAGCTACCTGATTGGAATGCTGCTCCCCTGCCTATTTGTTTTGATGTGTCTCATCTTCTCAATTCTGGGGAGCAGCATGTGCCTTCACTTACCCAGCATTTCTGCTAAGAAAGCATGGGGGCAGGGGACAAAAGTTCAGGACACGATGATACTGTGTTTGAATCCTGGCTCTACTATTCACCAGCTAAATAACTTCTGGAAAATTACTTACCTTTTCTGGGCCTCAGTTTCTTCATCTGTGAAAATGGAGAGATAATGATATGCCCATTATAACCCCAAACCAATAACTTTGTTTGGGCCCTACTGTTGAAGGCCATTGCATTCCCATGACCTTGTGCTGCCTCTGAATGGAGACGTGCAAGTCCCCAGTGCAAACCAGCATCTGCCCTGGGCCCCTGCATCAAACAATAAGCCCAGCAGAACTGTCAGAAAAGTGGGATCTACTGTTCCAGAGCCCTGGGCACACCTCCACAGAAATGTTGCAGAGACAGGATGTAAAGCTTAGCCTGGTGACATATCTTAAGTACTCAAACAGATGTTACTCGTTCTGCTAGTTCTTTAATTCTAAGACATATTGGGACCCCTCTGCTGACCTCTTAGCCTGACACCTAGCTTGGTCCTCAGTGATATGGTAGCTATTCCTTTCCCTGTTTCTTTGCAGATGGTGGGTGGGGCAGGGTTGGCTTCACAAGTCCTGCAGAACATCTGTCATCCCACAGGCACTGAAACCAAAGGAGCAGCAGGCGCCATGGAGGTGCTTTGCATCCCTGAGGACATGGACTGAGATGCTGTGCTGCTCTTCTGAGCATATGACCAAGGGCAAGGCCACAGGGCCACGAGATGTCAGTATACTGGAGCCTGCCTGGAAGGAACCTCAGAATAGGAACATGCTTTTATAAGCACCGATGCTTCCTTGTTTACCTGTCTTTTGTGGAAATAAAAAATAGCATATACTTTCTCCTTATTAAACAGTATATAGAACACATTCTCCCACATCCTGTCATCAGGTTTTAAAAAACAAATAGGCATCGGTTACTGTACTCTGGTATCATCTTAGAGGATACTGAGCCACATGGGGGCAGTGTCTTCCCAAGAGTACACCTCCTTTATGGTTAAACCATTTTAGATCCCAACCTGGTAACTATGGACTTAAAAGTAGTGCAACAAGCCAGGGTCTGACAAAGGCAGCTTCCCAATGTGGGGTCAGGTGTCAACTGGCTTTTGGCGGGGCCTCCTGCTTCCTGTCCCAGTCATGCATGGCCATTCAGTGCTGCCTGATCTGCCCACCTGAGGTTCTCCATGCGTCAGGGCACATTCATCGGCAATACTTGGAAGTTACACGTGGAACCAGAGTTCACCCAGTTTACTTGATATCTCCCTCCCCAGTTCTTTGGCTTCTGATTTGGCTAAAGCCTAATTTCAAACTTGCTCTGAGTGGGGCCCCAGGTTGCCTTCCACTGAACTGCCTGGGTTAGCTGTCTCTCTAGGTTCTTCCTTTGAAGGATGCAGGGTTTTAGTAAAAAGTAACTATTAGCTTTCCAGCAAATATTCCCACTCCCTCTTACCAGCTTGTTCTCAGGCTATTTTAAGTTCACCAAGTGCAGGCATCCTCTGTCTTTTCTGAGGAAAAGGCTGTATTGTTTAAAACCAAGAGGAAAATGCCAGCAATCTCATTTGCTGGTTTTCCCCAGAGGAGTCCACTCTTCCAACTTAAAGAAGTTCTTTACATGGGCAGTTGGCTCCCAGAAGACAGCTCTTCACAGGGACATTACATTTCCTGTCAGCCTAGTGTGAAACTGTGCTGGTTCTGGAGAGAAATGGATAAGCCTGGCCTGAAGAACTATGGCCTGAGACATTGGATGGACCCTACTGTTGAAGGCCATTGCATTCCCATGACCTTGTGCTGCCTCTGAATGGAGACATGCAAGCCCCCAGTGCAAACCAGCATCTGTCCTGGGCCCCTGCATCAAACAATAAGCCCAGCAGAGCTGTCAGAAAAGTGGGATCTACTGTTCCAGAGCCCTGGGCACACTGCTCACCATGGGGCTGTGCTCTTCCTTTGTACATGGGCTCAAGTCTGTGCCCATGACAGAGCTGGCAAGACTTGGAGTACAAAAGTCATACATCTGGGCTTTCATACCACAGGTGTCAATGAGTTACCTGGAGGAGGAGGTGCAAAGAGCTGATAGCTATCTGATCTCCCCAGAAGCCAGGAAGTCAAGAATCTCCCACCACTGGTGACATGAGATATGCGGCAACCAGGGCCTCTGAAAAGCAGGTGACGGGGAAGAGTAGGTGGGGAACTGAGACTCAGGGTGAGAAGCGTTTTTGTCAGTGAGAGGGATCTTTAACATCCCCAGAAAACAGACAAGAAGGTCAGGGCTGGGCAGGAGAAAAGCAGGAGAGGTACTAGGTGAGACGGTCAGAGTGGGAAAGGTGGTGACCTGCCCCTTCCTCCCATTGTCAGAGGCTTAGGGATGCTGTGGCTTCAGCATTGTAGGGAGTGACTTTTCTAAGAGTGCATAAGGAATGGGGGATAGGGTAGGGGCTCCTGAGAGTGGCTGTAAGACCATTCCACTCTCAAGGGGACAGTACTCCTTTGTTAAGACCCTGGTTGGTCCTGATTTCCTGCCAGAGGCTGCTTTGGGCTTCATCCCCTAGATGCAAGTGCTTGATGGGAGGAGGGCAGGCCTAGCCCCATTAAGTCTAGGAGGTGGACTCAACTCTTAAGGACGGGCTCTGGCCCACCCCCCAGGGAGAGAGCTGGTGGCCTGGCAAAACCAATGCCAGGACCTGCAGAGAAGGTTCAGTAGTTGACTCTGTGGCCCTTGGAGGGCTCCCACAGCTTTCCCTGAGGCCAGGTACTGGACAGAAACTTCCCTTAAGTGCCTCCCTGCTCAGTAATCAGGGAAGATCAGTGTAAGGGGCAGGTTGGGATAGCACCAGTCCCTATTCCAGGTCACAAGGTGTTTGGAACCCTTTCTGTTAGCCTTCCATCAGGACCTGGGGTGGGATGTCCCTTTCCTCTCTTCCTTTCTAGCCCTCAATTCCAGTGTCCCATTGCAATTATGAAAAAGGGGACCTCCTAGTCTCCTGGTCTCTCCTTGGGTTCCCACAGAGCTCCACTCCACTAGGACTCCCTCCTCCATAGCCACTGCACTGTCCTCCTACCCCATGCTCTGTAGCAGGTGTCTTTTCTCTTCTTCCAGTGAGGCCTGGAGTTGGGAGTGCCATCTGCATCTCAGAAATGGGAAATGGTGATACACAATTAAGTGAAGGGCACCTGTGTGCCCTTGCAGAGGGCTGGTGGCTGCTGGGCACCATGCAGCTGTGAACTGCCAAACTTCGGGTCTATGTCCAGCAGGTGGTGGCAGTGGAGGACCCAACACTGGTGGTAACGGTGTCATGCTGGTTGGGAGTGGCCACCTATAAAGGGCCTGCTGGCCTTCAGGAGGCCAGGAAGAGTGGGGTCTCCAGACTTCAGCAGATGCCCCTGGGAGCGTAACTGCCTGAGGTACTGGCTTCCACCCTGAAAAGCAAAGGGCTCCCAGCCCTTCACATGGATCATAGGTTCCAAAAGCTGCTCCACACCATCTCCTAAGGTTTCCTAATGCTCCAGACATTTGGAAAACAGACTCCTTTTTAGAAGTTGCTATGATTTTTCTTGGCTTTTATTAGCATGTGTTAAAATCATATTATCCAAACACTACCAGAAGAACATGTATTGTTCTGAATAAAGTGCTTAAGGAAAAAAAAATGCAACTTATTAAATTGGACATTCTTTTCTAGTTCATAAATTTTGGGTTACAATCAGGGCACAAGAGGAGGAACAGAATGCAGTATTAAAGAGAGCGAGAAGCTTAGTTAAGAACTTGGGTGTAGACACAAGACCATGTCCCATTCTTCCCACTTCCTTGCTGACTGAACACTGCACCTGCGTAAAGCAGCAAACAGCTTTGTTTTAATAAATACATTTCCCTTCATTCAAATCAGAAAAGTTACTTATTGTAAAGCACTTTTTACTTGACCATTGTGTATACCCACAGGCAAGATTCATGCAGAGTTGGAGTGTGAAAGTGTCACTTCCTTGGGCCTTCAGCTCTCTAATGCTATCTGGTTCAAGATTGTCTCAGCAATTCATTATTGGTTTCCTCATATTTACCTGAAACATTTTAATACCAACACTATAGTGTTTTGTGTTACAAATGCCAACCAACGATATTTTCTCAGTACTAAAAATGACAGTGAATGGGCCCTAAATAAGGCTGTACTCCCAATAAATTAGGTTTTCTTTAAATTGTATCTCTCACATTAGCACTCTAATATCTGCACAAAACCCAAGTTCCTGTTGGACAGAAAATCAGTGATGTTCTGAAAAAAATAACAATAAAATCTCTTGTATTTGAGTCTTGAGTGGCCATGTTGAGAACAGAAAACATTGCATTAAATACATCTAAAAAACATTCATTTGCAATCAATCATATTGAAATCTTCCAAGGAAGGTGCAGGTTGGTGACAGGGCAGCTGCGATGTGAGCAACCCCACTGGGAGTGGCTGGTGGGTGGGCGTGGGGCCCCATCAGTGGCACACACTCACCGCAAACTTCTGGACCGCAGACCTCTCATCCTGGCCTCGGTGCCTCTGGCCTCCTTCTAGCAAAGGGAAAAGGCTGGTTCTACCTTCAAACAGTCAAGAGCAACCGCTGTTGAATTCACCTTGAAGCTGACCCAGAAGCTGGAGCCGGTGCCGAGCTAAGGGTTGTAGAAGGGCTAAGCAGTACTCGCTGTAAAAAGATGCCATCCTCAGTCATCCAGGGCAGATTCCCTTCCCTTCTCTCAAGCTCTTAGCTTCCTGTAGGAGAAGATCTCAGGTCTCGTTTTCACAAAAGCACACCAACTAGCAACCCTGAGCTACCACTGTAGCAGCTGAGAGAAGACTGCTTTCTGAACTATTCTGTTTTTGCTTCTTCCTACAGAAGTGTCTGTAGAACACTCTTTAGTTTCACAGTGATATATGCTGTTTCAGTAAGCACAAAGTGATCTGACATTGTTTCCAAGAAGTGACGGCCTACTTTTAGCTTGAGAATAAGGTTCCACATCTGGTGCTAAGTTCTGCCAGACACTGCCACACCAATGATAGGATTTACGGTAGTTGGGAGGCTCTTGGTCTCCTGTCAAGGGAGCCCACTGGCTTTCACTATCATTAGTTATATTTCCCTTTGATGTTTTAAAAACCCTACTGTGAATCTGTGGCCTTACTCCACTCCGCTCTGTCCTTCTGACTTGGAAGCCTGAGAACTTATTAAATTAGGCTGAAAGGTGGCTCGACCTGCTAACATTGATGGCAGTTTAAGATGCTAGCTTACTCATTTGCACAGCACCATGTAGAGTGCCTGTTATTCAGGCCAACTATAGCCAACTTTTTCTGTTTTTGTTTTATAAAGAAAGTCTATGTAAGTTGAGGTTCAGAAATGCATATATTTTTTACTTACAAATATTCATCTGACCAAAATTCAACATAACCTTTATGGAACACTAAACAATTGTTTTGTTTTTAAAATAACATTTCATTCAAACTGTATATAATTCAGTAAAGTTTTTTTTGTTTTTTGTTTTATACAGCAAGCAATGCTTAAACCCTGGAAAATCTGTAGAAAAGAGATTTTCACACAAAATAAGAAAAGAAAAATCTGAGGTATCCCTCACCCACACATCCACTCACTCTGACCCACACGCAAGCACACACACACAAACTCATTCTTACTCACAAAGTGGCTGCAGCATAGGCAAAAAATTGTAGGTCCAAAGGAAAATGATTGATTGTTCTAATAAAGAGTCCAGGTAGCTCAGAAAACAAAACAAAACAAAACACAATAGTCCTCTGAGGAAATTACTACCTCAAAAAAATGTCCTCAAGATGAATTTGAGATCTAAGCCTACTAAAATGCTTTTGCAAAACAGCTCCCTGCAGTCCAAGGTGACTTGTGCAAATAGAAGGAATCAATTGAGGCTAGTTCCTGTACTTCCTTAAACAAGGATGTGGATGCTCACAGATGTCCGGCGCTCCCATCATGCCAGGTACTGCTGCAGTGCCGTCTTTGCCCTGAAATCACAGTTCTCCTGTTAGCCATCATCTCAATTGTAATTGAGGGAGAGAAAAAAAACCAAAACCCTGTGGCTCAATGATGGTAGTTGGCGTTGATGTGTCCTAAAAAAAGTAGATTCCCAGAGTGAACTGGGGTGACCAGCTGGGCACCTAACTTAAGGAGCAGAGGGCCATATTCAAAGAGCTCTGAAACCTACACTGGGTATATTCTTCTTCCTGTGGTTCTCTTAGACAGCCATCCTTACCCTTAAACCTGCTATAGCTTGGTGACATTCTACCCCCCTTGTATGTGCTCACATTTTATAGTTTTCCTTTGTCACTAGTCCAGAGTTGTGATGGATCTGGAATTCTCTACTTTCTCCTACTGCCATGCAGGTTTTACATAGTAATACACAACACTAGGGAAGGACCCTTTGAGTTCTGGGAAGCTAAGGGGAAGGAAATCTGACCCAGGGATTAGCTGCTACTCATGGGATGAAGCGCCTCATGGTTCAAATGCCTCAGAACCATGGAAGAAGGGTACAATTTCATCTTGTTCTATATGCCTGATGATACCATCAATGGGGGACATGCAGCTTGTTAAGGTGACTGGGAAGAAAGGGGTCAGGTGGAGAGGAAAAGGTGTAATGTCAACAGTGCTCCAACCTCTTCCACTCCTCTGAGCCTCCTTTACCACTCCCATCATAAGCTTTGTAGTTTCTATAGAGGATGCAATTGTGGAGCTAGGAAGTCTGGTTTTAGCAACAGTCTCCCCTTCTAAATTACAGAAAGATAAGTCTAAAATTCCAGTTGTATTAGCTGACAAAAGTAGCACCAAGTAGACTGGGCATGCAATTAGCTGGATTTAGTGCAGTTTTGATAGTAAAGTAATATACTAAAGGTTTTTTTAAAATATTTTTTTAGTTGTCAATGGGCTTTATTTTGTTTATTTATATGTGGTGCTGAGAATCAAATCCAGTGCCTCACACATGCTAGATAAGCACTCTACCCCTGAGCCACAACTCCAGCCCTAGTCTACAGTTTGTAAAGTGGTACACTAAGGAATGTTCTTACAATTACATAAGACTCTAGAGACGATAACTGTGAACAGTCCAAAGCATCAGAACAGAAATCTCTAGAAAGACTGTCCCTGAGCCACAGGCAAGATGGGTTTTAAGAAAGGACATTTTCAGAAACAAGTTTTCAAATAATGCCACAGTACCCCTTAGGGACCATTCACCTGCCTCTGTAAATCCATAAGGAAGCGGGGAAGAGCAGTGTGAGGGTTGGGTGAGAATGCCAGGGCCTTGCGACCCTGAGGCCCTCTGAGCCTGGGCTGGAAAGGCTGGTTAGCAACAGCTCAACTGTTAAGTACTTCAAAGTCAAAGGATCACAAAGACTTAAATACAGAAGTACCTGGGAGAGGTCTTCTCTAGATGACAGACTTTACTGTATGATTACGGGAATGTCCATTTGAGGGTCTTAATCAAAATCCTGTGTTACTCTTTTAAAAAACTGTCAATTCAAATTCCTTCTGGATCTTACTCAGAGGCTGGCTACGTTTGATTATTTTGTGCCTCAGAAAGTTCTCTAATCTTTCTGCTGTCTATTATTACCTAAGAAGTTTTTTAGACAGATGTTTTCGGAGGTATGATCATCTTTTCTTAGATGGACTTAGACTGGGTAACTCACACCTTTTTTTCTTTTAATGGGCTGAAGTGTAAGAAGTGGTGAAAACTTATATATACCATACAAATTTGGGGGAGAAAGCACTGACTTGTCTATAGCAATGCAGGGAGGGCCCACACACCCCTCATTACATCTTGGTGAGGCCTCTCTCAGCAATCTAGATCATCCCAGAGACAATGTTAAGAAGAACAGTTTTCACTTCTGAACAATTATGCGAGAAAACCCTCAGAAAATGACCTGGTTATCAGCCAGAAGAGGTGGGTTTACAGCCCTCCATATAAGGTGGCATCTATGGAGGGGAGCAGAGGTGCCAAACCTCAAGCAAAAGTTCAAATCCAGCCTGTGACATGTGGCCGGCCTGGACTTGCCTTTGGTGTTACACTTATCTGACCAGCATTGGGGTTGTGGTTATTCAGGGGCTTGCCCTCTTTGACCTATAGGACAACAAGCTCCAAGGAGGCAAAAGCCCAGCCTGCTCTTGTGTTCCAGAGTCAGGAATAGCCATTCACTGGCAGAGCAGTTACTAAGTACTTTGTCCCTTCAGCAGAGAAAACAGGCTGCAGCAGAAACACAGTGCAATGTGTTCTGCATGCTATGGCGCACAGAAGGGGTTCCTAGCATAGCCTGGGTCAAGGCAGGAGAGTGGGTCAGACAAGATGTTTTGGAAGAGGTGACAAGCTGATCCAGTTTTTAAGGATGAAAGGCCCTGTCTAGGCACTCTCTTTCTTTGCTCTCAGGACACTACATGCCTGGGTCTCAAGTCTACCCCGTTGGTTTTTCCTATGCTCTTTTACTGGAAGTTTCTCATCTTCCCCTAACTGTTGGAGGGCCCCAAAGCTTGGTTGTTGGCACTCTTTTCTCCTCTCCCTCTTTTAGTCTAGATAGGTGACTCATCCAGCTCCCTTTAAACACCATCCAAATTTATATCCCTGTTCTTATCTCCCCTGAGTACCTTAGATACCTAATGGGCCTCTTAAAGTTGGCTCATCCCAACAAAAACTCGATTCTCTCTACCCCAACTCACTCTCCGAGGTTCCACACCACTGTCGTAAACTGCACCTCAATCCAGTTGCTCAGGCTACTGGCATTTTCCTTTCCTCTTTTTCATTAATACCTTCCACCAAGTCCAGTTGGCTCTGTCTTCAGATTAAATTCTGAATCCAACACCTTCTCAATACTTCACCAGGACCATTGTTGTTTCTTACTTAGGTTATTGCAACAGACTTCAACTGGTCTCCCTCCTTCCCTTCTGCCTACTAAAGATGATTCTGTACATAGCCACCAGAGTGATCTTTTAAAAATCAAAATTATTTAATGCCTCTTCTGCTCAACACTCTCCAATAACCTCCAAGTTCTGAATAAAAAGTCAAAATTCTTACCTACAAGGCTCTTTGTGATCTGGCTCCTTCCACCTACGTTTATGCTCCCCCTCATTATTTTCCTCCAACCCTACTGGTTTTCTTGCTGCTCTCTGGAAATGCCAAGTTTACCTGGCATTTGAACCCACCATGCCCTGTGCCTGGAATATTCTCCCTCTAAACATCTGTCTAGCAGATACCTTCATTCCATCCAGTTCTCTGATCAAATATCACATCCTCTGAGAGAGATTTACTGACTAACCTGTATGATAACCAACTTTCTTTAATCTCCGTTCCCTTATCTTTGCTTTGTTCTTCTTCATGGTACCTGTCATTACCCAACTGAACTTACATTCATTTGTGGATTATCTGTCTTTTATAGTAGAATGTAAGTTCCATGAGCAAGGATTTCACCAAGTTTATTCACCATACATCTCCAATGCCTAAAACAGTGAGGGGAGTGAGTGCAGGGTAGGTATTTAAAAAAAAAAAAGAGAATGAATGGGGACTTGGAGGGAAGGGACCCAGGGTGGCAAAACAGATAAGAGAGTTTGTGAATGCCTGAAGTGTGATACTGAAAGCAGGCAGGTAAGGCTGGAGTATAGGGTGGTATGGTGGAGGTGGGATAGGCAGAACCAATTCACAAGGAGCTGAAGGGCTTTTGAGCTCTGCTCAGGTGTCTGGAGAAGGACAGCTGATGTTCCCTCCTGCTGCTACACACAGAAGTAAGCTGGCACATGAAGTCTGCTATCAGGGAGTGTACACAGCTAGGAAGAGTATTTCTGACTATTTTGAGGTTAGCTGGATGTATGGTTGTAACTCCTACCCTTCCTGGGGAATGGCAAGCTCTCTGAGGACAGGGACTACTTAGTGGTCACTGCTGATTCCCAGCAGCAGGGGTAGGCTAGGCTAGATTACAAGGCTCAGTGATCTGATTTCAGTGATCTAATCAACGTTTTCAATAGTTGTCTTTCTGCTTTCCAAAAGGCTACATGCATTTCTATTCTAATGATCTTAGGAAGTAAGGGAATGGCCTCTGGATCTTAGATACCAACTAAGATGATGCAGACTCAACATTAATTCAGGGTGAGAGTCTTTAATAATTTGGTAATTACTAGTTTATGCCTCACTCAAATGTCACAGTTGACTCAGAAAATTAAAAACGAAATTCTAAGAATCTAAAAGATCTTAAAAGTTTGGCCATGTGAATTACTAAGCAATTCAAACCATTTCATAAAAGATTTGACTCCAAAGTAGCTCAAATAGAGGCCCCTTTCATGTTGATACTCACTTGTCACAAAGGTTGGAATCTGGTGACTGGCTCAGTTTGTGTAGAATATCTACAATGCCCATGTCTCGTAATTTATCTTGGCGTTCTTGTGAACCTAAAAGATTAAAGCTACCAGGTTACTGGGAAAATGATGCAGACAGCTGTTCTCCTTCAGCCTTACTGGGACCCTTCACTCCTCAACCTTTTGCCTCTTATCCACCACCCTCCTGCAATGTACCTGGATCCTCTCATGCTTGGACCCTCAGCCTAAGTGGTCTCTGTACCTCTTGTCCCTCCTTCCTGCAGTCCACCCCATATTCTGCTGCTGGACTAATTTTCCCACAGACTATTAAGATCAAGATCAGATTCTTTCAGTCTGGTACAAGGTCCTCTGTCATTGGCCCCAAGCTCTGATGCTTTTTAGGACATTGCCACAGCACTGGGGAGGACAGTCTCTTCCTATTCCTAAGAGACCTTGTTTTCCCCTCCGTCTATTGTTTTCTGCCCTTTTCCTTCCTCCCTGCACTTCTTGCCTTTCAGCACAACTGGCAGTTCCAATTTCATACCACTCTGTTCCACCTTCCAACTAGACCAAGACTTTGAGGCCTGGATTTTTCTCTTGGAATTCAAATGTTACATGGTATGGAGACCTGTGGGTTAAATCCAGTTTTGCCTCCTACCACTTCTGGATACAAGTGCTAAGTATAACAATCCCTCTGGAATCTTTCCTCCCCACTGAAAAATCTACACTGATGCACTGAAGAACCTACATTGAGGCACCATACCCTCTAGACCCAGTGAACCAGAATCTCTATGGCCAAAGCCCAGAAACTTGCCTTCTAAAAGTTTCTCGGTGATTCTAATGCAGCCAGCCTAGCACTGAGATCCAGTGCTCTTCTCCATACCTTGGCTGTATACTGGAACAACCTGTTAGCTTTAAGAACTACTTGTACCTAGACCCACCCCCAGAGATTTTAATGGAACTGGTCTTTTGCAAAAATCCCCAGGTGACTCTAATATATGGAGAACCTTTGATCACTACCCCTAGCCACCTTACTGTAAGACTATATCTCACCAGTATATCCTCTTCTCTGTCATGCTTATCTGCCAGTAGTCCTTAAATGTGCTTCCTATGCTTACAACAGAAGGCCATCCTCTTATCCACTCTTCTCTCACCTTCTTCAAGTGCCTCTTATATCCTTCTTATCAGCTCTCCCAAGGGCAAGGACTGTCACTCACTCCTCACCCCTAGTAATTCGGTATAGTGTTGGCTCCAATAGTGTTGGCTCAGGTCAGCTGACTCAGGCTAGTCCCACTGACTCTCCTACTGGGGTGCCTCTGTAGGGTGGTGAGGGCCAGTTAGGCCAATGAGTAGGGCCCCTGCCTAAAATCTCAGGGGAACTTTCTGCTTTCCCTGTGCCATACTTTTATCTTCCCATACTTTTCTTCAGGAAAACATCTCACCAGACTCTTACCTTCCTCTTCATTCCATATGAGGTTCGATATACAAAACATAGCAGCAAGCTGCAGTTTGACATGTGAATGACCCTAGTAATATAGAAAAGGATTAAAAATGGAGGTGATCTCATTTCAGATCATTTTTTTTTTTTTGAGTAACATGTCATAGGTGATAATTAAATTACTCCTATTTCTGTAGAAGGATCAAAAAGACTAGACCCAATCTCTACTTTATCAAATGTATCAACTATCATTGAGCAGCTTTCTATCTTCTAACACATAATTCTTGTTTACTTTTGTTTATATACTAAAAGTACAACTATTTCTGGTTAAGTTGGATCATTTATCCATATAGAGTGCTTTTTCCTAAGTGAAAGAGGACTCATGAGTAAAAGAATCTTTTTTTTTTTTTTTGGTACCGCGGATTGAACTCAGGGGCACTGGACCACTGAGCCACATCCCCAGCCCTATTTTCTATTTTACTTAGAGACAAGGGCTCACTGAGTTACTTAGTGCCTTGCTTTTGCTAAGGCTGGCTTTGAACTTTCGACCCTCCTGCCTCTGCCTCCTGAGCCACTGGGATTACAGGCATGTGCCACCACGCCCAGCAGTAAAACAATCTTACAGGTTATTTACCTAGTGGTCAATTAAAAAAAAAAAAAAAAGCTAGCATATTTAAATAATTCATGCATAACTAATGGACTACCAATTACATAATATTCTTAATGGTTTCTTGAAGGTCAAGACAGATTTATCTCCTAAGTAGGACTGTACCTCTACCAAGAAGAAAAAGAAATGGACATGGCTTCCTCTGTTAGAATTCTATGCTTTGTGCTTCATCTTCTACCTGGCAACAGTTTTTAAGAGATGTCCAGTTTGAGCTCCATTAAGACCAAACAGAATAAAACTTACCATCTGCTCACAGCCTCAGGCCATCAATGGGTAAACTGAATAAATGAACTTGCATATACTATAAAAAGCATTTACTATTTATAAGTTCATTAATCATTCAATAAAACTAGAGGGCAGGAACTTAATTTAGATGGTGCAGAGATCATTTCTTTGAAAGAGGCAACATTTTAACAGAGATTTAAAGAAGGAAGGTGCCAGATGTGTAAAAATCAAGAGGCTAGGGTTTCCAAGAACAATAGTTCCTGAAAAGATCTGAGGTAAGAAGATGTATATTCAGAGAAGGAGGCATGGCCAAATTGTGGGCCCTTTAAGACCAGAGCAGGGACTCTGGATTTCATTCTGAGTTCAAAGCTCTTATAGGATTTGTACAATGGAGGGACAAGATCTTATTTACACTTTTAGAAAATCACTTTGGCTGATGGGACTGAAGTAACAAAGCAGAAGATCCTGGAGGCTACTATGATTATGTAGTCAATCAGTCATAATATACTATGGCTTAGACCAGAAAGGGTCAGTGGTGATGGAAAGATATGAACAGATTCAAGATTAGTTTTGAAGGAAGAATTCATGGGACTTGGCAATAAATTAGATGAGTGAAGGTAAGAGCTAAAGAAATTAAGATAGACTCCCAGGTTTTGGCAATGGGGTAGATGGCAAAGCTACTAAACTAAATGGTAAAGACCAGGAGGTGAGACACGTAAATCTAAGGGAGATAGCTAAGAATTCATTTTTGAATACCAAACTTGAGAGGCTATCAGACAGTCACATAAAAATACTGAGTAGACAGGGAGATATGAGTCTAGAGTTCTGAAGAGAGGTCGAGGTTGGGGGCAGATACTTAGAAATCATCAGCATAGAAATGACAGTACAAGCCACAGGGTGGACAAGATTCCCCATGCCAATTGTTCTTAACTCTTTATGTAAGAACCACTCAGGGAACTTTTAAAAATCTGATGACCAGGCTATACTTCAGACCTTTTATATCAGAATCTTGGGAGAAGCAAGGCTATAGTCTCTGAAAGCTCCCCAGGAAATTATGTTGTATAGCCAAGGCTGTGAATCAGTGATTCAGGAAAGCTTGTAGAAGAAGGCGGCCCAGGCAAGGGGATCAAGAGAAGGTCATGGAAGCCAAGACAAAGAGATTTTCTGGAGGAAGAAACAGCAATGCTGAAGTCTGCTGTAAGTGGGGTAAGAAGTGGAGAGAAAGCACCGTTTGGATTTGGCATCACAGAGATCACTGGTGACCCTGACTAGAACAGTTTCAGGTGATGGGGATGGAGGCCAGATGAATTAGGTTAGAGAATGAACTTTGAGGTAAGGAGGGAGAAAGCATGTGCAGAAGATGCTTTTAAGAAATGTAACTTCAAACAGAAGCAGAGAGGTAGGTGTATGCAAGGTTAAGGGAAACTTTCTTTGCTTTTTGTTTTGTAGTGAAGATTGAACTCAAGGATTCTTACATGCTAGGCAAGCACTCCTCTGCTGATGGAAGGACTGTCAAGAGATGAAAGCTACTATGTGGAAAGATCAGGGAACTCCTGGTTGAAGCAGGAGGTTTTCACTCAAGTTTACTGAGCTTATATGAAAGGCCAGGTACTACAAGGTGCTGGATACAGAACTGTGAACAAACTGATGTGTCCTTAATGTCATGGAGTTTATGCCTGGTAGAGGAGAGGCTCAGGTGGCACACTCACTATAACTGAGCTGAATGCTGTAAAGGCAAGAAACAGAATGCAGGAACACAGAATAAGAGAGGAAGGGTCAGTTCACCTTAGGTCTGAAGAGTGAGAAGGGGTGGGAAAAAAAGTGTTCCAGGAAGAGAAGCCAGTATGTGTGACGATCCTCAGGCAGGCAAGAGCATGGCCTTGCCGAGGAAATGAAAGAAGCCAACGTACTAAGCAAAGAAGAGAGCAAGGCAATGAGCGGGGGATGAGGAGGGGTTAAATCTTGCAGTACATGATGGGCGGTCATAAGCGAGTATGGATTTGACTTCAAGGTGTACAAAGAGCCTCAAAAAATTTTAGCTTCTATTCTCTTAATAAAGCAAAAAACTAGGTCATCGCTAAGAGTAACGGGGAGGGAAGAAATGAAGTTTAAAGAATGAGGAGAGGGTAAGAACCTATTCTTGTTTGTGGAGAATGGGGGTACCAAACTGCTTGAGAGTCACTGAAGGAAACCCAGTGAGGCTGAGTGCCCAGGTGGATTTTGTGAAGTGGATCAATCAATCAGCTTGTTCTGTCCTTCCTCTGCAATTGTTAACCGTGTGGTGACCAAGAGGAGGCAGGTTCCTCTGTGGTTAGAATTCAGTTAGGATATGTTGAAAATGAAAAGAGGAGGACAGATTTTAGCCATGGGTGATGAAATGATGTAGGGCATGGCCACAGCAGTAGGTGGCATGCTATTTGGAAGCAAACGGGTTGAGAAATTAAGGTGCCAAGGAAGCACCTTAGTTCCATGGGACTGAAGCCTTGAGAAGGGAGACAGAATTGGGGCACTGAGAGAAAGCCAAGAGCCCCCAGCTTCACTGGGTAAGGAGGCAATCAGTAGATGAGTGGAGTGGGGATTGGGGTGGTAGATGTTAGTATCTCCAATGGCACAAGCTTCAAGGAGTTAGTGTTTTCCACCCTTTTGGATGGAAGAGTCCCCTGAATCTGTCACAATAATTTATTCGTCTTAGAAAATTCCTGCAACAACACTACAGTCCCTGCCTTCCAATGCTGCAGTTTTGGGGGACAAGGGCTTACCATGTAATATTTGATTTTCTGCAGGATGTCATCATTAGTCATAATAAGTTCTTTTGCTGTTGTCCCATCTGCTATGTTGGCTAGGATGCAGAGCGTCTGAAAAAGAACAAAGACCCAGAAATCAAGAATCCTCTGAGGCTCCCAGTCTCTCAAGAGTTTGGGCAATTTCTCACCTGAAGGTACATGTATTCTCACAGGTTCCATTATCAATGGCCCTGATTTCTCAACTCCTGACACTGCCAACAAAAGTAACCACCCCCAACCTGAGTCTACTTTAGGCAAAAACACATCAAACACTCCTAGGGTTTCTTGCTGAGCATTAAGCTGGGTAAAGTCATGTCATATAGGTCACACTATAGTACCACAAAAGGAAAAAAGAAAAAGTATTTTATTATTATTTTTTGTCTTGGAAAGCTCATTTCTGAGAGAAGCTCTTGTGATTAACCCACAGATTTCTTCAAAGTGCATTCAGTTTGGTGAATACTTCATTAGTGTTGTCCCCCTCCCTTCCCCAAGCCTCCACCTGCGACTTGCTCCCAAGCTAACAACCTCTGGGTGAAAGCCTAGACTATGTCCACCAGCTACACTGACCATGTGCAATTAGAACCTCTTAACTTTTTTTGACCCCTGTTAGAAGAACAGAAAAGGAAGCAAAATGTGTGAAGGAATGAAGTCCAGATTGACCTGCCATGCAGACTGGAGGAAGCCCGTACCCACTGGTTCAATGGGACAATGGGACATCTAGAGGACAACCACTGCACTGCCTGGAGTTTCTTCTCAGAAGAAGAGATTGCTCTTGTCTGCTGGTCCTTTTTGATAGCTAAACCAGCAGATGGCAAGGGTTAAGGTAAAGGAGATAGGGCTATGGTAGGGGTAATAAGCTGGTGCCAGACTTAGTAACAGATTTACTGAACATCTATCATGGAGCTGCCTTCTGCAAGGCATGAAGCTGAGACAGGAATAAGATACACTCCTCGACTTGGAAACTGTGACATGAGGAATTACATTTCACTGTGGTATGATTAAAGTAGAACAGAGAACCAAGAAAGCCTGAAGAGCAAGGACCTGAATCCTGCAAGGGCCAGGAGGCTTCCTGGAGGAAGCGACACTGACCCCTCCTGCAGTACAGTCAGCAATTGCTCCGGTAGGTTGAGTGGTGAAGTGGGGGAGAGACTAATAATTATCTCAAATTCTAACTTTTTTCTTTGCAAGACTTCAGTTTATTATGCCATTGAGATTGTTTATTTTTTTCTTTTTTTACTCAGGCCTAAACCCTCAAATATACTAAAGGGTATGTAGTTTTATTCATCTAGATTAATACAGTGTAGTAACTAGATTTTTAGGGAGTGAACCCTGAGTTGTGAACTAGGAAAAGGGTGCCTCTAGGAAACAAGAGACGGAAGAAATACAATTTAGAATCATTCATACATATGTATGTATATAAATAAAATAAGGATATAATTTTATATATATAAATAAATAAAATAAGGAATATATATATTTACATATATTCCTAAGCGGACACTGGGGGACTAACTAGGTAATGATGAGGAGACTCTGATCTTTCCCACAAGTTAGAGTTGACCTAGGGAAGATGTCAGATTTAAGAGTGATCTTTATTTACCAGAAGAGGCAGTGAGCTGGATTTAGCCCACAGGCCACAGTTTGCTAATCCCTAGTCTGTTTCATTGATTTCTAATTGTTCATATTAGTGGACATACACACATGTGTATTTTTTTTTAATCTCTGCTGTTCGGTATATTGAATTGATTTGGCCCTAGAACTAATTGAACTTTTTAACATTTGGTTTTATCTCCACAGAAATGTTTATAGTATGCTTTCCATGGGTCTATTCTAACACTCCAAAAAGAGGAATCAATCACTTATCTTGCTGCCCTAGTCTATTTTGAGGTATCTCCCTATAAATGTCATTCTTTCCAATGAATCTAAATGTATTCTCCTTTCCCCAGGGGCACCTTGGTCACGAAACCTTTTAGAATTCCTATCCATGGTCAGGGTCATTTCCATTATTTCTTTTTCTGCTTTAGCTAATTCATAGGATTGAAATGGGGAGAAAATTGAGAAGAAGAAAGATTCTTCCATGTTCCCTTTGCACCCTCAGCCAGGCTCTACTTCTGTCCCTGCTGCTGGCTCTTCTTTTCCTGTTGGTTTTAGCCTCGCAGAGCCTCCTTCATGAAGACAGGTGATTTATTTACCACTGCCTGTTCTAGTAAATAAAGTTTTTCTGAAGAGGCCATGAATATTCACTTACATATTATCTTTAGTTACTTTCAGGATAGAACAGCATGGGTAAAGGGTTACTATAGAGATTGTATAGCATTACAGAAACTCGTAATACCAAAGCTCACTCAAGAATAAAGAACTTGAACAGTCCTGTTCCTATTAAAGAACTGAATGTGTAGCTAAACATCTTTTCACAAAAGAAACACCATGTCTACAAGGCTTCACTGAAGTTTCGACCAACATTTTAAAAAAAGAATACCAATTCTCTACAAATTCTCAAGGAAGATTGGAGAACATCCTCACCTTGTTTCCTAGAGCCAGCATTATCTCAATACCAAAACCAGATAAACACATTACAAGAAAACTATCCATTAGTATTTCTCAGAATGTAGAAGTATATGATCTGTATACGAAAACCTATAAAATATTGCTATAAAGAATTTAAAAAAAACCTAACTAATTGGGAAGATAGTGTGTATTCGATGATTGGAAGACTCAATATTGTCACTTCTTCCCAAACTGATCTATTGGATGTCATTACAAATAAAATTCAAGTTGACTTTTTGGGGTTAAAAATAAGGACACAATTATTAAATACAGTAAAATTCACTTTTTGGTTTGATTTCTACCTGATAAATGTATAAAATCTTATAACTCTCACCACAATCAGCATTAAGCATGCAGAATGGTCTTCTGTCTCCCTCCCCACTTGCCCTATGTTATCCCTTTACAGTCCCTTACTCCTCCCTTAAGTCTGGGATATGTTTGTTCTCTCTTCTATGACTTTGTCTTCTGCAGACTCATAGAAATAGAAGTATAGAGAATGCTTCTTTTTAAATTGGGCTTCTTTCATGTAGCATAAGGCACTTAAGATTCATCCATGTTGTTGAATGCATCAACAGTTTGTCTTTCTTTATTGCTGACTGGTATCCCATAGTGTATTCACTGCCCAGTTAAGGGACATCTGGCTTGTTTCTAGGTTGTGGTGATTACCAAAATAGTTGTTATAAACTTTTTTTGTTGTTCATATGCAAGTTTTTGTGTGAATATAGGTTTTTGCTTTATGTGAACACATGCTTAGGAATGGGATTGTTGGGTTTATGGTAAGTAAAGTTGGCACTCCATTTCTATGGATTCCACATCCATTGATTCAACCAACCATGGATGGAAAATATTAAAAAAAAATGTGTTCATACTGAACATGTACAGACTTTTTCTGGTCATTATTTTTTAAAAAATGATGATTATTTATATAACCTTTATATTACATTAGATATTATAAGTAGTCAGAGATGATTTCAAGTATACAGGAGGATATGCCTCGGTTATATGCAAATACTATGCCAATTTATGTACTGATCTGGAGGGTCTGTAGATTTTGGTATACCTAGGTGTTCTGGAACCAATCCCCCACGGACACTGAGGGATAACTGTATATCTTCAATCTTAAAAGACACTGCAAAACCCAAAGTGTATCATCTGCATTGCCATTTGATGTACTATCAGTTTTAAAATATTTTTAACCAATCTAAAAGAGTGTACTGATATTTTATCATGGAGTGTCTGTTAATATTGTTCACTTGGCTTTTTTATTTGGTTGGTTTTTTGCTTATTATTTTGAGAGCTCTTTATATATTCTGGACAAAAGTCACTGTGTCCAATGTGTCCTTAAGACATAGGATTATTCACAAATATTTCCTTCAGGTGGATTCTTTGTCATTTCATTCTCTTACAGTGCATTTCAAAAATAGTTTTACATTCTGATGAAGACCAGTTTTCCCTTTTGGATATTTATACTATCATATCTAAGAACCCTTTGCCTAATCTTTCAAAGATTTTCTCTATGCCTTTTCTGTTATGCCTATGAATAAATTTTCATCTAAGTTGTGAGATATAATCCAAGTTAAATTTTTTGGCAAAATATTTTGTCAAAAATTGTTACAGTACCATTTGTTGAAAATGGTGCTTTCACATGTTTGTCAGTAATCAATTGCCATATATGTGTGGGCCTATTTCTGGACTCTAATCTGTTGTATTAATGTGCTACCTATTTGTTGATGGCATACTGTCTTGATTACTCTATTTCATAGTAGATATTCTAGCATTTACATTTATATTAATGTTTATAAGAGATATGCTGGGATTTTTATTAAGATAATGTTGAATCAGTAAATCTCCTTGGGAGAATTTTAACATAATATTCTCTAAATGGTTAAAATGTTAAATGGAATTTTTTTTTTAAATTTTTTATTGTTGGCTGTTCAAAACATTACATAGTTCTTGATATATCATATTTCACACTTTCATTCAAATGGGTTATGAGCTCCCATTTTTACCCCATATACAGATTGCAGAATCACATCAGTTACACATCCATTGATTTACATATTGCCATACTAGTGTCTGTTGTGTTCTGCTGCCTTTCCTATCCTCTACTATCCCCCCTCCCCTCCCCTCCCCTCCCCTCTTCTCTCTCTGCCCCCTCTACTGACATTCATTTGTCCCCCTTGTATTATTTTTCCCTTTCCCCTCACTTCCTCTTGTATGTACTTTTGTATAACTCTGAGGGTCTCCTTCCAGTTAAATGGAATTTTAACATAGTATTCTCTATTTATTGGATTTCTTTCATTATCAGAGTTTTGTCATTTTCAGTGTACAGATCCTTCTGAAATTTATACCAAAGCATTTCATTTTTTTCTGAGCTACTATTAAATGGCACTGTTTCCACTTCTAATTGTTCAGTGCTTATATGTAAAAATAAAATCAATTTTTCTATTTTGTGACCTGCTTATTAACTTATTTATTAGCTCTAGATTTTTGGGGGTGGGAGGGTACCAGGAATTGAACTCAGGCGCACTTAACCACTGAGGAACATCCCCAGCCCTATTTTGTATTTCATTTACAGACAGGGTCTTACTGAGTTGCTCAGCACGTCACTTTTTTTAAAAAATATTTATTTTTTAGTTTTAGGTGGACACAATATCTTTATTTTATTTTTATGTGGTGCTGAGGATTGAACCCAGTGCCTCACGCATGGTAAGTAAGCACTCTACCTCTGAACCACAACCACAGCCCCAGCACGTCACTTTTGCTGAGGCTGGCTCTGAACTCGCAATCCTCTTGCCTCAGCCTCCTAAACCGCTGGGATTATAGGCATACGCCACCACGCCCATCAGTTCTAGATTTTTATGATGAATCTATGGCACTTTCTATTTATGTTGTCTGGGAATAGTTTTGCTTCTTCCTTTCCAATCTGTATATCTTTTTTTCTTGACTTACTATACTTGGTAGATATAACAGTATAATGTTGAACTGGATTGGGACAGATGAACATTCTTGTCTAGTTCCTCTTTTTTTAAAGAGAGTGATAGATATGTTCACCATCTTGGTTATGGTGATGGTTTCATGGGTATTTACACACATACAAACTTATCACTGCAACATACCGAACATCAATTAGGCCTAGATTAAAAAATTATTCATTAGATATTTTTGAGAAGCATTAAACTTCCAGCTAAGGACTAGGCAGTTTAAGCATTCCATACTTGTCTACTTCTGGATCATCTCCAAAATCTGTATGAGAGTGTCATCTGTTTCTTACAAAAAAAAAAAAAAACAAACAAACCACTGTTGTTGGTCTTTTTGTTTGTCCTCATCTAAATCTCACCTAGCCTTCCTGCCTTGCTTTACTTTTCAAGTTAGGGAAATTCTATCCAGGTGAGCTATCTTTCCTAGACAAAATCTATTCCACTGGTCTCCCAATAGAATAGTTTCTTCTGAACAATGTATTTCCTGTTAATAAGATTTCCAGTAATGAATTTCATCTCATTTCACTTCAGTGATGCTTTGGAGATTAATTTTAAGAAAAAAATCGGGGGCTGGGGTTGTAGTTTAGTTGGTAGAGTGCCTGCCTTGAATGTATAAGGCCCTGGGTTCAATCCCCAGCGCTGCCAAGAAAAAAAAAAACAATTGATTGGCCTGACTTTAAAAAAAAAAAAAGAAAAAAATCATCGAAACATCTTAAAAGCAGTCTGTCAATCTAACATTTTCTGTTCATGAATTACATCACAGCTGCTAAGTCCTTCTGCTCTTACTCCTGGGACTGCTCTTTGGAAGCTGGCTGAACTACTCCAGCTCCAGAACACAGAGGAGGAGAAGTCTGGGGCCTGCACTTAGACTCTCTATGCCTAACTTTCCACTAATGATTTTGGCAAGTTTCTGGCATTAATATAGTCATACATATATGTGTATGACTCAATAAATTTAAACCTAACACCTCAGATTCTGGGTAAAAATCTTAAATTTGCAAGTGACCTTTATTTTTATGGCAAAGTAAAATGTATATATAACATTAAAATTGCCTTGATATCTCCCAGAAAATACAGAAAAGTGATTCCCATGCGGTTCCCTGATAAATGCAGTGTCCATACTTTTATGTCTACCACAATCTTGCCCTACTAAAATCCAACAGAAAGGGGGAATTCAGGTGGTGACTAAGAATAGAAGATGCCTAAGAGTAAAGAAACCAAAACCATCAACAGGATAAGAAATTCTCTGACCAGGGAGTTGTAAGAGTTTGGGTTTATAGCACGGTGGCAGAAAGGGCTAGAAATAGTGAATTCTGGAGAAAGGAATAATTCCAGGATGACCAAAGAAGGCTGCTACTTTAAAGACAGGGACAGTGTATACAATGTGTGACACAGGGGGAAACTATAGACTCTGGTCATGTTTTTTTCTATTCCAGGAAGAAGAAATATTGAAGAGTTCAAGGGCTGATGGAGCCTCTCTCTTGCCTATGGACCCTCCATAGCGGCGCACCCTGTCTTCTTCAGACGTGAACATTTTAGGAGGTTCCTAACTAAGATCTGCCTTTGTACTCACATTCAGAAAATACTCCCCAGGAGAAAAAACACATACCTGCTCTTTGACCTCAATGTTATGCTCCCCTTCCAGAATAAGGGTGACGGCTTGCATAATTTGCTTTCCATGAGTACTCATTATTTTATCTATATGCTGTAAAACAATGGGAAGGCCACGGTTATCATCTGGGAAACGAAAAGCCCACAGAAAGAACAGAAAGCTTCTAAAAGTTAACATTCTATGATACACAGTTGCTTCAAGCAGAACAACACAGCATATAGAACGAGATGCCAAAGAATAGTATTTATTATACTGTAAAGCTGCATTTTGCCTTCAAATACGTTTCTGAATGACTTTACTACAAAGAGAACATAGAGTTGGTCTGATAGAATATAGAACTAAAATCAGTGGGAGTGCTCAAGCCCAAAGATATTAAACAAAAAGGAAGCATAAAATTATGGATTGGGGGGCAGACATGGAAAATACAGTATAGGTATTAATACTATCTTGGAGCACAACTGTATGAAGATGATTCAAAAGACAAGCAAAGCACAGAGAAGTAAAATATGACCATGTTTCTTCATCCACCTGAAGTGGTCACCTGACATGGTTGGTCAGGGAACATCACAGAACTACACTGAGTGTGACCCCACCAGCAAAGCTGTGCCTCTTCTATTGACAAATACCCACTAATCTCCACAATGACATCTCCAGAGGTTAATCCAATAAATGTGGGAGGGGAAGGTATGGGAGTGTCTATGGAACGGCATTAAGAAGAGTTCTCTAAATCCAATCAAGCAGAAGCCTCAGAGATAAATGATTCAGGCAGATGAAAAATGTGGCCAGCAAACCAAGCAAGAATAAAGTAACAAATCAAGGCAGATATATATTTGGTGCAAAGGGAGGAGAGACAGACAGGATGGGCAGTACAGCAGTGTTGGGCAGGGGGGCTCCCAGAACACCTATGAAGGTGGCAGGTCAAGACATCAACTCCATGCTTCTCTGAAAAGGGGCAACATTTGAGTCATACTCAGAGGTAGATGTTGGGGAGCAGAGACAGCAGTGCTGGGTTAGGGACACGGAGGGCTAGCTAATCTGGAAGCCTGGGTGATTTTACTTACAGGCCGAGTAGAAAGGAGATTTCTAAGAAGTCCCAATGTCTTCATCAGCACGTTCAAATCTGAATCTGATAATAACCGGAATAGCTGTTCAGTACTCAAGCTTCGTAAAATATCTGCTTTTATTTTTTGTTCAGCCTGAAATGCCATATTCTGAAAGGATTAAAGAAGTTGCAAGAATCATTTCTATATTTATTTTATTAAATTATATAATTTTTATTTTTGTAGTAATTCTGATAATTTTCAAAGTATAAACAGAATCTGTTAAAATCCTTAAGCATGAGTAATACTATTTTTCTAATTCCTGTTAATTTCCTATATTTCTATTTGTCAAGAGAAGGATAACTGCTACTCTTAGGTATTCACCTATAATGATGAATATGATTACTTTCTGGCATGGGCATTTGAAGGTCTTAAGGTTTCTCAGATAAATACAAAATGTATTTATTACTTTTGAGAAGTAATAAATACATTTTGTATTTATGGTTATCAAGTTGCCTTCCCTGTATTTTAGAAACAATATGACCATTTTAAAAAAAAATTATGTTTAGTTGTAGACAGATACAATACCTTTGTTTATTTAGTTTTTTTTTTAATGTGGTACTGGAGAAGATGGTTATTTCTATTTCAAAGTTCGGATGAAAACAAAGCAGATGTGGAACAGGAAGAAGAGTACAGATTGGGACAGCTTCAGAACCCATTTCCATACTGACTAGCTGTGAGGCCTTCTCCCTCACAATTCATTTAACTTCCTGGAGTCCTAGTTTCCCATTTGTAAGGTAGATATATACCAATATAACTTAAAATAAGAATTAGAGGAAACAAGAGTATCTGGTATACAGCAATTAAATTATAACTACTATAATTATGTTTTTAAAATATCATGTAGGATTACTTCCTTTCCAATTTCAATAAAACTTACTTTAATGATCGTAAGGAAAAAGGGTTCTGTGTGTGTGTGTGTGTGTTTCTTTTATTCATACATTTATTCATTCATTTATTGCAGTACTGAAGACTGACTCAGCTCATGGTAGGCAAGTGTTCTACCACTGAGTTATACCTAAACCCTTTTTATTATATTTTGAGATGGGGCCTCACTAAGTTGCCAAGGCTGGCCCTTAATCCTGTGCCTCAGCCTTCTGAGCTGTTATTATGGGTGTGCACTACACTGTCCAGTTGATGTCATAATTTCAAAATCCATTATTATAAATTATTTATTAGAAAATGTTAAATTATTAAGCATTTACTTTCCAAACCTATAATCTTGGCAATTTATTTAATCACTCTGAAAAGCATATGAGGCGATCCGTGTTATTAGCTCAATTCAGGTATTATACAATGTGTACATATTTTAAAACATGTTGTACATCTTAAACACATGCAATTTTTGTCAATTAAAAAATCAGCTGTAAAGTATGATAAGAATACTCAGTCTACTTCATAATGTTGTTCTTTAGAGCAAAGAAGAGAATAAAATACTTTGTAAAGTAGGCAGCTCTCTAGAAATATCACTATATTCATGGTAAAAAAAAAAAAAAATTGTTTTCCCAAGATTAAGTAACTGAAGTTTCAACATCTGTTCACTTTTCATAATAATAAGAAAACAGGCATACTATGGCCAAGCAACTTGCTTACAGTCAAATCTGAAAGTTGAATACCATATCTTCTAGGTTCTAGGTCATTAGAAAACTGGGCCATAATAGCCAGGTTTTTAAAACAGAAAATTCCTGACATTTCAAATAATACATTCTTTAGTTCTAAGTTTGAGAATTACATAAATTATGAAATAATAAAAAATGTAAAACATACCATTAAAGCCCAAATTCCATTCACTCGTAAAGCAGGATTTTCACTCTGGGTTAATCCACAAAGTAGCTCTACAGCTCCTGATTCTAAAATTGGCTGTGATTGCAAAAGTTTAAGAAAAAAAAAAGAGAGAGAGAGAGCTTTATAGTCCAATTTGCAAAGTAAATGTGTATATACCCTAGTATTATATAATTTGTTTCCCATTCTTACTCAGTTCCAAGCAAGCTTCAAAAAGCAGGAGTGATACAGCCACAAAAATCACCGTGAGGAGGGAAAGGACACCTTTTCTCTCACAAATATCATCATCATTGTGCCATATTCTTTCTTTGCAGTCCTGACAGACTCTGGAGACTCTGACCGTCTGTACTTCACACACACAGCCTGTGTGACCACCGTCTAGTTACCCATCCTCACTCTCACCACCCTCTGACACTGGCCCTGCCTGCCTCATTTGTGTATGGACTTTGTTTGCTGCTTACCATCTAGGATTATGAAGCAGTGGTTGGTTTAGGAAAGAAATATAACAGAACTTAGATAACCAAATCGTCCTCTTTCCAAATAGTCAATTTTATTCCTAAATGCTATGGAATTCATCTTTGAGAACTATTTTCGGGACTACTTTTCAATTTTGTAAGCAAAACAGATTTGTACTTTTATAGTCATGCCACATTTTACACTGAAAATAGCATGCTTTAGTCTGACCACATACTGTAGTAAGTACTAGGCTGACAATGAGTTTCTTTCTGGCAATTTCTAGAAAAATTCAAAATTTAGAGGATTAAGATTTATTATCACTAATTAATGTTTAAAGGCCATCTGACAAGTGGATTCTAGAAATGTCTTAAGCAATTCAGATTTCCATATTTAAAAGTGCAGTGCCTTGCAAGATGACATTTTTGAAAGAGTAATATACTCTTCTATTTGTACAAATTGTGGTATTTTTTAACATTTTTTCCATAGTTGCTTTATCATCTCTCATTTTGTTCACCTACATCCACATTATTTTATCTTACCATTTGAAATCTGAGTGCACATACCATGCCCTTTACCCTTAATGTGTATTTCCTAAGAAGTTTATTCCCTTACACAATCACAGTATAGTTAACAACTTCAGAAAAGTTAACATTAAATTAAAACAATACTTTTATCATTCTATAGTCTCTATTCCAGTTTTACTAATGGCCCAACAATTTCTTATAGCATTTCCCTCCCTTCCAGAACAGAATCGAGTTTATTTTTAATATTTTAAAAAATGATCATTATTAATGATTCTTTGCCTGAGTTCTTCCACCTAAATTTCCCTAAATAGTGGACCCTAAATATTCTGAAGGTAGATCTGATCATAATCTAGCCAAGACCCCACTACTGGGCAGAGAACATGTTGGAAACTCTGCCCTACTCTTCTGCCTTTCTCTGCTTCCAGTCTCTCCCATTTTGTTCTAAAATTTTTAATAACTGTCTTTGAACCTCCACCTGTCAATACTGCCTTCCTGAAGAAAATCAATTCAACAAAAATGGGACTACTCAAGGAACTGAACAGGCACTTCACAGAAGAAATACAATTGGCCAACAAATATATGAAAAAAATGTTCCACATCTCTAGCAATTACAGAAATGCAAATAAAAACTACACTGAGATTTTGGCTCACTCCATCCAGTCAGAATGGCAATTATCAAGAATATAAGTAATAATAAATGTTGGTGAGGATGTGGGGAAAAAGGTTCCCTTTCACATTGCTGGTGGGGCTGCAATTGGGGCAACCACTCTGGAAAGCAGTACAGAGATTCCTCAGAAAACTTAAAATGTAACCACCATTTGACTGTTATTCCAAACCTCGGCATATACCCAAAATACTTAAAGTCAGCATACCATAGTGACACAGCCCCACCAATGTTTATAGCATCTCTGTTCACAATAGCTAAGCTATGATACTAACTTAGGTAACCTTCAACAGATTACTGAATAAAGAAAATGTGGCACATACACACAATGAAATATTACTCAGCCATAAAAGAAGAATGAAATTATGGCATTTGCTGGTAAATGGATGAAACTGGAGACTACTGTGCTAAGTGAAATAAGCCAATCCCCCCAAAACCAAAGGCTAGATGCTTTCTCTGATATGCAGGTGCTAACACACAATAAAGTGGGCAGGGGAGAAGTACATTGGATTAGACAAGGGTAATGAAGGAAAGGGAGTGAGATGGGAATAGAAAAGACAGTAAAATAAATCAGACATTAACTGTCCTATGTTCATATAAGAACACACAACCAATGTAACTCCACATCATGGACAACCACAAGAATGGGAAGTTATACTCCATGTATGTATAAGACGTCAAAATATACTGTCATATATATCTAAAAATATTAAGAAGAATTTTTAAAAATTAAAAGAATAAATAAATAAGGTCTGAGATATGTACAAAAACAAAAAACAAAAATGGGACTGCTAAATGTCCAATACACTTGAGTTCATGATTTGGCAGGCCAGATTTTTGTTTTGTTTTAGTGTTAGGAACTGAACACAGAGCCTCATGCATACAAGGCCCAGACACTACCAGCACCAAACCAGAGATATTATAATACAGCCAAGCTGATTTTTTAAGGTTTACCCCTCTACTAATTCTAGTTTTCCCTATTAAAAAAAAAAAAAAATACAATTTTGATTAATTTATAAAATGCAGAAAGAGGGGTGGGAAAACATATTCTCTCCTTTCCCAAACAACTGCCATCAATATTAGAAACCAAAAACTAATCCTGGTTTACAAAAATGAGTCTTAATTTATTCTTTAGTATAGGTATAGTTTGAAAATAGTCTATTGTTTGTATAATTATTTCTTATACTTGCAGTTTAGATTGACTATAAACTGTAATATCTTAATAATTAATTAATTAATTAATGTACTTCTTTATTTATTTTTGAGGTGGGGTCTTGCTATGTTGCCCAGGTTGGTCTTGAACTCCTGGGCTCAATGGATCTTCCCATCTCAGCCTCCTGAGGAACTGAGACTACAGGCACATGCTACTCTGTCTAGCTTTGTAATGTCTTTTATTTTTTTATTTTATTTTATTTTTTTAAATATTTATTTATTTTTTTAGTTCTTGGCGGACACAACATCTTTGTTTGTATGTGGTGCTGAGGAACGAACCCGGGCCGCACGCATGCCAGGCAAGCACGCTACTGCTTGAGCCACATCCCCAGCCCATTGTAATGTCTTTTAAAAAACTGAATATGCTAGGTAGAATAGAAAGAATATTGGGAAATAATAGTCATATTAAAAAATGATCACCTCCATCAAACAATTCAGAAGTAGTTTTTATACCCAATCCATGTATTTCAATGTCAACAACTGTGAAAAGTTAATTTGACTAAGTGCTAGCTGGAACAGGCAACATCATGAAAAGAATATCAATACTAACCTCTTTGCTTGGAGAAAATTCAAGAAGAAGATTACATAACATGGAAGATGCTACTACTAGGATTTCATCTGGTGCATTTTGTAAAACCTTTGGAATAAACAAAAGGATACCATTAATGATTTAGAATCATGGAGGTGAGACCACAGAAGATGATATAAAAATAATTATCTCTAAACTTGATTTCTCACATGGAAGAGACACAAGGTTTAAAATACAACTTATGAAATTCAGAAGTTGACATCTAATGCTAAATTTCACCAAAAGGACAAAAAATAATCATGAATAAAACTTTTAATTAAAGTCCAAGCTTATTCTCTTGCAATTTGCTAACCAACAATTTAAAAAATGGAAAAAAACAAGAGAAATATCGGCAGACCTGCAGATAGATAGCCTCTAAAATATGAGGAACCAAAAAATATCTAAAGCAAATCATTGGTTTTCTTCCAAGTTTTTAATATTATTTTAATACTTTAAAAGTCATAGTTTGAGAGTAATTATACCCACATGTACCCAAATGCACAAAATCTTTCTAGATTACTGCTCATCAGACCGCTTCCCTGGGGGAACTAGACAGAAATCATATAGTGTTCCATTCTGATTTGTATGTCAGAGGAGTTCTGAACTGAGCTTAACTGAGGAGAGTCTCCGAAAATCCAGGAATGCCAAACCCAGTCCCAATGGTCTTAGATAAGGGATTGTGAATCTGAAATGGATTTTTGTTGGTGGGAGCCAGCATGTTCCTGGAACAAAGTGTCCACCCAGTGTAGAAAGGCACTGATGTTATAGTTAGAGAATGGGGAGTGGGCAAATCCCCTGAGTTTATAGCTTCTAAGTTAGGTTCAGGCAGCAAAAGGAGAGCAGAGAATGAGGAATATTCAGAAGGGCTGACATATGTCCAATTGAATGAAACAGGGTGAAACTCAGGGAGGAGGGGCAATGGAAGGAAATGGGTCAAGATCAATGTCACAGATTGCTTAGGTAGGCCAACTGGAAAGCAGAAATTCTGAAAAGTCTCAGAAGGCCCTATTGTGACGATCTTTTAGAACCTCTTGGTGTCCTCTGACAGTTCCTAATTGGGTGGTTACATACCCAATCCTGTCATTCCTTCCACTTAAATCTTCGGGGTTCACATTGTCCTTATTCCAGGACCTCAACACATAAATCATGTACTCTGCCATCATGAACCTCCTCATAAGAAAGGCTCAGCATGTCAATTTCCAAAGCCTATGGTACCGATTCATCTCTTCTATCTATCTGGTGCTTATCTGTTCACTGGTATGCCTGTCTCATCATACCTGACCCCTCTATGGCAGTCATAAAGGGATCCTTGCTATTTCCTACATATACCACACATAATGTTTCTGCTCTTGCTATTCCTCTCCCTAGAAAATTCTCCTGGTCCTTTTTCCTTCAAAGCCACATCACATTATTTCTTTTTTTTAAAAATTGATTTTATTTTTTAAATACACAACAGCGGAATGCATTACAATTCTTATTACACATACGGAGCACAAGTCTTTATATATAAAGTATATTCATGCCAATTCATGTCTTTACACATGTACTTTGTGTTTTTTTGCATTACAATTCTTATTACACATATATACCACAATTTTTCATATCTCAAGTTTTTATATAAAGTATGTTGACACCTAATTCGTGTCTTCATACATGTCCTTTGGATAATGATGTTCATCACATTCCACCATCCTTGCTAATCCCCTGCCCCCTCCCTTTCCCTCCCACCCCTCTTCCCTATCTAGAATTCATCTATTCCTCCCATGCTCTCCCTCCCTACCCCACTGAGTCAGCCTCCTTATATCACAGAAAACATTCAGCATTTGTTTTTTGGGGATTGGCTAACTTCACTTAGCATTATCTTCTCCAACACCATCCATTTACCTGCAAATGCCATGATTTTATTCTCTTTTATTGCTGAGTAATATTCCATTGTATATATATGCCACATTTTTTTTTATCCATTCATCCAATGAAGGGCATCTAGTTTGGCTCCACAGTTTAGCTATGGTGAATTGTGCTGCTATAAACATTAAGCCACATCACATTATTTCTGCGTGAAGTCTTTCCTGATTGTTTCTGTCACACTTACTCTAACCTAAAGTTTAAGCCAGGGCAAGAGCTCTGTAGTAAAAAATTTTAGTAGCCCTCTGTGTCTGAAGGCTTGCTTAGTCTTAAGTAAGTACTCAAAAACAAAACAAAAGAAAAAAACCTAAATAAACAGAAAATTCTTTGAACTAAATGCAAGGGAGATATATATATATTGATCATTAAAAAGATGAAAGATCAAGGTAACCTGTGGTTCTGTGATAAAACAGAGCTAATATTATTAGCAGCAACCTGCTACTCTCCCAATTCATATTCATTTGCCCTGAATCCCCCCCAACATTTTTTTTTTTTTTAATTGGGTTGGGAGTCCTCAAGAGCAGATCGGATGCCAAAAAAAGTTACTGTTAAAAAATATCCAGGTGAAACTGGAGACCATCCTGTTAAGTGAAATAAGTCAAATCCACAAGGTTAAGGGTTAATGTTTTCTCTCATATGTGGAAACTAGAGGAAAACAAAGGTAAGGGTGATCTCCTAAAACTCAAAGGGAGATCAGAAGAGGAAAGGGACCAAGAGTTGGGACATAGACAAGGAGGGGGGAAATGCTCGAAAGAAATGTTGACCAAATTATTTTGTTATATTTGTATACATGCACAAATATGTAACAATAAATCCCATCAATTCATACAACTATAATGTGCCAATAAATAAATGAAGAAAAAATTCAAAGATTGCCAAAAGACTAAGAACAACCTGTTATATCTGGAAATGGATAATGCTTTTCTTTTTTATAACTAGAAACTACAAGTTCAAAGAGTAATACTCAACATGAAGGAAGATCAGATGAGTAACTACAGCAAATCAGGTTTGTATTTTCCCCACACACACAAGATGTCAATCTCAGAAACATAGTCTGTAGATTTGTAGATGCTCAAAATATCAGATTCAAGGAGACAAATGTTCAAAATGTCCTACCCAAGTCAGACACACTCCTCGACCCTGGAGTGCCACTGGCTCACTCAGCTCACAAAGCCGCTGTGTGAATGGGTCACTTAATGTCCCTTTCTTCTTACCTTCATTAAAGGTTTCCACACAGCATGATCCTGAAAACTGGTTCGAAGTTGCTGTACAGATCTCGATAAACTGTGCAAACATCTACAAAGAATAATCAAAATTAGCTTTCTAAGAAGCCAAAACTTACTTCTCAAATAAACTGCTTGGCTTTTCACTATTACTAGTGTACATTTCAAGTACATCTATAGAGAGTAAGTCAACTATGTCAGGACACTTCATGGGCTTTGGAGGCTGGGTTTTCTGTTAGGTGATGTTACACACTGTATGAATTCACCTGAGCATACTTTCCAGTAACATTTGGATTCTGTGCTTACTTGGTGAAGGACCGGAGAGGAAACAAGTTAAACACACAGCAAAAGATGTTTATTCAGACCATTTAAAGCTCATACCTGACGGCAGCTAACCGCACCTTGACACTAGACTCAGACAAGCCAGTCACAATTCGGTCCATCATATTTTCAGTCTCAATGATCTGGAGAAAAAGGTTAATGCTGCATAAATAACAACATGAAGGTGACAAACTTCAGTGCTTGTAAATGCAAGTATGTTAATGTCCATTAAACTTTAATGTTTTTGGTAAAAGTTTTTACCTCTTGAACAATCATCTCGCAGTAAGGGAAGGCAGCTCATCAAAAGGTAGGGCTAGCCCACTAAGGATAAGCCAGGATGAACGACGGGCATAGGGGCAGGTTATGTTTCTTTATTTTTAAAGACAATTAAAAAAAATTAAATGGTATTAAGTATTGCAGAGGTGTTGCATAAATAATCTTGGGGGGAAAAAAGAGAGGTATAACTAAATTCCTATTAGGTAAGTTCCTGCCAGAGAAAGATTCTAGAAAATCATAGTTCACACTCAGTCTTCAAGAAGTGAAATTTATCATTTTTCTGACAGAGTCACCCTGTGGTTACTTTCTTACCATGACCATTGAAACAAAGTTAAGTATCTGGAAAAGCATCATTTGCCATCTTTCACTATGGCACCAACTCCTGCTGTATCACCCATGAAGCAAGTCAAGCTTCAATCATGAAGCTTTATTCTTTTTACGATGGACTACAATTTTCCTTCAAGTAATGTACAGAGCCAAAATAAAGTATTCAGAGGAAATGAAGTTTAACTTGTGTGGGCACATGGAAAAAGAATAAAGTGTTAATGCCATCACAAAAAAGATTAACAAAAACAATGAATATTTGTTGAGGACTTCTACGTGCCAGGCATTGTGCTAAACGTGTTATATCATCTAATTTAATCCTCAATGTCTTGTGAGCATTATCATGATTATTCCCATCCACACATTAGGAAATTGAGGATTCTAGCTAATACAGTTTTCCTGGAATCAAAGTGCTAAACCCAGGCATCTGACTCCAGAGTCCATATGCTTAGCCATACCTGTTATTCTGTCCTGGTTAGAGAAATAGTTCTATATTTATCAGGTATTGCCAGTATGGGAGTCATATTTCCATTAATGGGAGTCATTATCTTGCCTGGCAGAATACCAAAGATCTTAACCCTAGCCACACAGAACAACCTCCTAAAGAGCTTTAAAAACAAAAAGGAAAAAAAAAATCCTTATGTTCAGGTCACACCAATTAAATCCTTTTCTCTGGGGTGAGGCCCAGGAACCTGTATGTATGTTTTTTTAAAAAGTTCCTGAGTTTGGTGGAACCAATGTTGAAGATCACTGATCTGGAGTAAAATCTGGAGGATTCTGAAGCCTGATTTCAGAACAGGCAAGGGTGGGAAACCTCAGGATCTTCCAAGCCAAACAGGAAGACTGCAGGAAATAGAAATGAAATTAACATTGACCAGGAAGAAGAATATCTACTATTCAAAACAGGGAGCCACACGTTAGCTGTAGGTTCAGAACAGTAGTTTTCATATAAGTTCCCAAAGTGGCCAAAGTACATGAATATGTCGATCCACTCCTTATCCCAGACTAAATCTGATCCTGTGCTGACCTTTATGCTCACCCACTCTATTCTCCTATCTCTAGCTCCTACCCCTTTCTCAGTCCATTCATTCTTTTCAACTCTACCCCAACCCCAATATGAAAGCCTGACTGCTTGCTCTCTCAGCAAACACTACAGCACCTGGGTGTCCTCACTGCTGGCTCACCAGCCTCGTATTCACCTGCAGAAGACCTCCATATTCCCTACCTGCCATTTCAATTTCTTCCAACATTACTCACCCCCTCAGCCCTTCTGTGCCTACCTCAAATTTGTAGGGGAATATGCTTTCTTCTGGGGACACAAGCTGTCTCAACATTTTGTTTTAATCAAATTAATTAATTAATTAATTTAAAGACAGGGTCTAACTATATTGCTCAAGTTGGTTTCAAACTCCTGCACTCAAGTGATCATCCCACTTGGGCCTGCTGGGATAAAGGTATGCCACCATGCCTGGCTCAACTTCCCACTTCTTATTGAAATATCTTTTGTCTTTGCTAGGCTGAAGTTGAGTACTTTAAGCTCAAAGCCCTTCTATCTTCACCCAAAAACCACCTTCCCATTCCTTTTTGCCCACCGGATTCTCTCCCTCAGCTTGCCTCACCTCCTGCTTCCACCCCTAAAGAAAAAGGGTACACACTTCAACCTCTAGAAGCTACAATCTCCTCTCTGCTTCTCATCCTTAAAGGGATCTGTGTTCCAAAGGTTCTGTCCAACTCTCACTCTACATAAGACAATGTTGTGACTTCAAAACCAGTTTGGTATGAGTAATTTCCTAATCTAAAGTTTGCTCCTAGAATTCTTTCCTCATATCTAGTTCCATACTTCCAATGATATGGATGTTCAGTGGAATTTCTGATTGTTCATGTCCCATGCCACGTTTTCTGCCTACCTCCTTGCCCCCCAGTCCAGGCTAAACCTGTTTCTTCTTTATGTCTTTTTGTCTGTCTCTGCTTATTTTGTTAGTCAGCCACCCAGGCACTAGATCTGTATTATTATTATTTTTTAACTTTATTTTATTTATGTATCTTTTATGTGGTGCTGAGGATCAACCCAGTGCCTCACATGCTAGGCAAGTTTTCTACCACTGAGCCCCAGCCCCAGCCCCAGCCCCAAATCTGTTATTAATTTTTACTTCAACTCTCTCCCTTAACACCTAATCAATTTCCTTTGCACTATGTCTTATATTCATCCCACCACCATTCTCACTCCATTAAAATAGTTAGGACTTTATTACTATTCCCTTGGGGTGACAGTAATATGTTTTCCAAATTGCTTCATCTTTTATTGTTACAGCAACCACAGAAGACTGGCTGGTTGATGGATTAGTTACTTCACTCAAGCACTAGTCACTGTTCTTGAAAGAGGCAAAGCTAAACCAGGACCTTCCCCAAGGAGAAAAAATTATAACCTGGAGGCAGTCTCAGGCACTGAAGGGCTGGGGAGTGAATCCTGGAACCTTCTGATGCCTTAGGAAATTATTTTTACTTAGAAAGAGTAGTAGTAACTGGGAAGAAACAGTTGCCTGTGTTGGACAGTTACAATATCAGAGAGTAAGTGGGAGAGAAGTACGGGATTGAACGGATGAGACAAGTGATTACTCTCCAAGAAGAACTAGAAATACTATTAGCACTGCTTCCAAAAGTGCTTAGAACCTAAGGCCCAGCAAGGTAAAAGACACTTCTGGATAAAATTTACTGACCAATTTAACCAAATATGTAAATCTACCAAGGGAGGGAACCAGTGCAGCAATCATTTAAGTATTTTATAAAGTTTATCTCCATAGAGCTTGGGCCACGAGTCACAGATCCTTGAAATTGTTTGGCACCATGAAAAATCCTAATTCTATACATGAGATGGGCCAGATGATTCTACAAGCTTAATATGGGCTGAAGTCCAGACTGATCCTTCCCAAAGTTAATAAAGCTGACAATCAAAGAACCTGGAGAAAGGGAACAGGGTGTGAGCAAAAATAAAATGAGTGGGTAGACAACTCAGTGGATGAAGCAGTAAGGTGAATGTTGTGGGGTGGGTTTCCTGTATTAATCTTGAGCAACTCACTCACTTTACCTTCTCTGGACCCTCAGTAAAATAAGGGGACATAGGGGCTGGGGATGTGGCTCAAGCGGTAGCGCTCTCGCCTGGCATGCGTGGGGCACTGGGTTCGATCCTCAGCACCACATAAAAAAATAAAGATGCTGTGCCCACCAAAAACTAAAAATTAAATATTAAAAAATTCCTCTCTTTAAAAAAATAAAATAAGGGGACATAGCAATGATTACTTTACCTCCAATCCTTTGCAATCAGCAGGTAAACAAAATCTGTCTGGGCAAAACTATCATGCTATTTAGAAGCAAGATGAGAAACAAGGTAGGTGAGGAGAGGCTAGAGATAGCAAGGTCTAGTTAGGGTGCCAAAATCAGGAGGAAGGCAAGGGAAAACAGGGTAGAGCTCCTATTTTCAGTCCTGCAAATATTTTTTGTTTGAATAAATAATTATTTATTCAGAAAATACCTGGGTTCTCAGAGAATGTCAAACATAAAAACTCATAAACAGTGAAGGAAAGAAAACTCTTTCTACCACCAAACTCACTGTGGAATAAGCAAGTAGGATTAAGTACAATTAACTATCTGAGTTACAGCAACTGAGTCTATGGCAGAGAACATGGGAATGACAGGGGCCACCGGCTCAAGGCACCCAGTGAAATAAGCAGAGAAGGTAGGAAAGACAACCATCGTCAAGAATGGGAGTTTTAGTATCCATTGGGAAGTGTTTCTTAATGACCTAGCCAGAGAATATCCAGGCTCAGATCAGAGGACGGTGAACTATTAGTACTCAAATACTGTAACATTAATAGAGTGGAACTTTGTACTTCTAGAAGTTTTCTAGAAGCATGTGGTGCCTGATCCTTTGGAGATGTAGTACAGCTATTAAGTGGCTGTTGAACTTTCTCCCTGAGTCAGGATAAAAAACAGTAGGACTATCTAGCTGACCTTTCTTATATCAAAGTCTATCAAAATGCCTATAGCAAGAGGTCTGGATTTGTAACCTGGTTACGAAAGACTTCAGTAACCCTGCTCTAGGGTTCCAGAAAGTTTACTACCAGAGTATCTGATTGACCTCCATCAAGATTATCAGTCAGTGAGAGAGTAAAAATAACACAAAATTAGAATGTGAACCTAGGATTCTAATCCAAAAGGTATGCAGAGAAGCCATATAAATGAGTAACATGATCTAACGGAGGGTTTACAACCTTCAGGTCAGTAAGGCCATTTACGCATGGATAAAAGGGAGATTATAGTGAATACATGCACCAAAATCGGGGGAAAAATGTGATTATGAGACAGGAGAGGTTTGGAAATCCAGAGGGAAAAAAACATTAAGTCAGCAGGCAAGGAGCTGGTGGTGTCCATGGCCAAAGTCCTTTGACTCCATGGTCTAAAAGAGCACCAGATAGCTTTTTAGACCTATGGTTTGAAAGCCAGGAGCAACAAAACCTGTTCTCTATGGTGCCTTTTAATAATCCCA